GCTTGAACCACGTATCTGTGTTTCCAAGAATAGGTAATCAAATATAAATGGAAGCATGTTAGACGAGAGGTCGAAATTGTGTGCAAACATTGCTAATTTTACAGTTTATGTTTACTCTTGCCAAAGTAATCTCTTCGGACATGGCATTATGTATTACTGGACCACAAAACTGGAGGTCTCCTCTAGGAAGTATATCCATAAGCAGTGAAAAATAGAAAACAGTGCCCCTTGTGCATGGTAGAAAGGTTAACGTGAACAGGTACTTTAATAAGACGGAATGAAGGTATAGGCATGGTAAAAGAAATTGTTTCAGGTATGTTTTCCATGCTGATTACGCCTTCTGCAACCCAAATTGATTCTGAGGATATCAACGAAACTTCCTTGTGAGTGAAGAGTGTTTGACTTTACAGATCAGGTTGAAGAAGCATCCCAGTCAATGGCGTATGTAACGTAAAAATATCGAAGCCCAGTTGCCGTCTATGACTTCCCAACAACGCCATTTTCAATGGTAATCACGGAGATGTTCGTTTGAATAATATAGGTTCTCCATCTGATGTGTCATATAGCAATGCCCCGAAGAAAAGCTTTCCGTTGAAAATGTGTAAAATATAGTTTCTCTTTGAAGGGAATCGGATAATACGCACGGGTTCCTCTCACCCACGTCGGGGAAACGAACCTGATGGATAGGGTGGTGCCTACGTATCTCCGGAAACCGACCTAAGTCTGCGGAAGATCGTGAAGACCGATGACGTCGTTGTAGAAGTGGGCATTGGATCGTTCGCCGACTCACGGCAACGGGATGGAGGAAGTTTTTGGGTAGTTCCCTAAGACAACTGTGGCTGAAGGAGAGCGGGGGGGCTCTCGAACATCCCCACTGGCTACTGGGTTTTCTCCGGAGCTCAAGCTACTCTTTCTATTCTTGTATCTTCTATTTATATTTCTATTTCCCATATTTCTGTTCCTATTATCTGTCCAGAATTCGGGTTCCTATTATTCCTTCCTTGATTTACTGTCCTCCGGATCGTATTCCGAACGGGGATCCTACCAGCATGTCGATTTGACTATATATAAAAAAGGAACTTTCCGCAGGTTTTACGTACTTGCCACGGAAGCTTTCACCGGAGGCCCTGAGCCGACGTCGGGAGAACGACCAGATAAGCATTATATATGGGGGAGTCTGGAGATGCAGTCTCATTACATGTCCACCTATCTTGTCTCGTTCCAATGGCGAAGAGAAAACCTCAATTTTACTCGTCCTCTTTGCTTGCCCTTCGCATTCCAACGTTGTTGCTGCTGCTGGTAACCCAAACGGTGGTGGCGAGGACGAGCGGAGGTCGCTCTGGAGGCGGAATGGGAGGCGGAGCTGGTAGCGGAGGAGGCCGTGGAAGCACCCCTTCATTTGGAGGCTCTGGAGGAGGGCGCTCCGGTGGATCTGTGGGCGGTGACGTGGGAACCGGGAGTGGTGGAGGGGGTTATTCGGGTCGAGCAGGTTCATACGCCGCTCCAAAATCTGTTCCTCTTCGGATGGCAGTCCTCTTTCCGCTTGTCTTCTGCGTCTTTTACTTGTTCAACACCTAAAGCAAAAGATGCTTCGTGCTTGAGCGACAGCATGCGTCCGTCTGCCTGCCTCCATTACCGGGTGAACCAATAAAACGTTGTGTCGTCCGCAGGTTTGTCTGGCTGGCCAAAACACGGCAAGATCATCTGATATCAAACGGAGTGTTTTGTTTGCGTTTGACAACGCTTTGTATTATTATTCAGACAATGTCTCGTCAAAACTCACTCTGAAACTAGATCGACGGATGTAATTTGAAAGATACGCAAGTCATGTCATCGAACAAGAAACCTCAATCTTAACGCAAAATAGGGATTATATTTCTCTTTATAAAACATTGACGACCACCATTTCATATGATTATTCAACGCGGTACTCTGCTTTTAAAACCCAGATAGTTTTGCCGGCCGCTCTAACCGCGTTACGCTGAATCGGGCAACCAGATCATCTCCTCTCTCTCTCTCTCTCTCTCTCTCTCTCTCTCTCTCTCTCTCTCTCACACACACACACACACACACACACATATATGTGTATAGATTTATCCATCTATCCTTCTCCACTCTCTTTTCCTCTCCGTCGATCGACCACTCCCAGCTCCCCAGCATTCTATGGCAGAAAAAACTCTCCTGAACCGGACAGTCGCAACTCGTCTCTTCGTCGACAACAGGCATAAGGTTTAAAAGAAAACCCAATCTGGCGTTGTACGGGTAACTACCTACGCTATGGAGTTTATTAGGTTGACTTCACGGACGGTCAAACTACCCATAATCTCCTCTCTGCTTGATTAGGAGCCATCTCATCATTTTACAGCTATAATCCAAACCTGCACGCTGAATTACATAAATTATCAAAGAAGTCAATTATTTGCTCAGAAAGGTAACTTCTTCAGTTTCATGTCTTTCTGATCGGTCATTTCGTGCAGAATAATTTACTTCGTCGTGGTAAAATGGCATGAAATCTTCTTTGAGACAGTAATGCTCGGCCGACAGATGGCGCCAAAGGGCTCCCGTCGCTGACCCTGGACTCGGCCCCAATCTTGATCCAAGTCTTCAGGCAGTGCGTGAGTAAGATGTCGAAGACGCTTAACAGTTTGCCCACCACACTTCCCCCAGCCACCGTTTTCCACTCCCTTTTCTTCGACTACTACTATGTATCCACCGTGACACCTCCAATCCGCCGCTTCCCTCCATCTAGAGGTTTCTTCCTCCTCTGATCCACCCTTCTGACTAATGTTCTCGCTACAACAGATCAACTAATAGTTTAAACAAGGTGAAGCACCCTGCATGAGAGAGAGAGAGAGAGAGAGAGAGAGGAAAGGGCGCGTACATCCGGGGGACGGCATGGTTTTGGCTTGCATTTGTTCATTTTCTTGGCCAGAGATTCCAGATCCATGTGCGCAAGCAAAGGTCTCACAAGTCGCTAAAACAGGAGAGGCGACTTTATTCCTCATTATGCCCAGCATACTACAATCGGTAGGATCTCACTCCAAATACTGAAAACAGGAGAGGCGACTTTATTCCTCATTATGACCAGCATACTACAATCGGTAGGATCTCACTCCAAATACTGACTCCTAATATTGCTCTCCAGTATAACATTCCTAGTCGAACAGTGACACACCCCTTGCTTGCTTGGAGGAAATTGTTCTGGGAGCAGACCCTCACCTCGGGCATGAGGACATGTGGTGTCCATATTGGCACACGCATGTGGCAGGTGTGTGTTACCAGGATGCAGCACATTGTGGCACAGCGAACATGTGAAGGCATGCAACAACAAGCCACGACATGCGTGAATGATGAAAACTTGTGTGTGGTGCGAAATACTTGGGCATGCACCACTGTTGAGCTTAGAGTGAGGTACATAGAAAATGCCTATCGGTTTTGGAGGTGCAGGGCAGGTGGGCAGCACACATTCGCATGGCACAAGCACATTACACCCCGTGGGAAGCACACAAGCTAATGCGCATGGATGAACCCCTAAGGTAGCCAACTATAAAATGGAAGTCGAAAACAATTAAATACTTGTTGTTAGTTCTGCAAAAATAAATCTTTTGCCATGAGGTCATCTTTTTACCCAACTAATTTACATTGGTTACCTTTTTTTTATTTGTCTTACTAAATGTGACAGAATGAGTAATTGATGAAAGTCAAATCTTGAATCCACAAAGCATGATTTCTTTGTCAAGGCTTGTTTGCACCTGTAAACACTCAAATTTCTCTTGAAAAAAAACTAAAAACTCAGAATAAACTGGGGTTACAATGTAGGGGATTTTAAAATGCCTAAAATAGATGTGAGTCATCCCCCAAAAAGACATTTTGAGTCAAAAGTCAAAACACATTTTGACCATATCTCTGAAATAAAAACCAAATACAAAACCATAAACTGAAAAGGTAATAGAAATAGAGTAGATTTCCTGATAACCAAAGTGTGACTTACTCTTCTAGCACTTTATTTCAGCCTAATCTAAGTCTAGGCCTTATAATCTTTACAGCCCATCATTCAAATTTATAGCCCACGAGTTTTGGGTCAACGAAGTCAAAAATAAATTGCACTTCTCTTTTCTGAAAATGATGTAATATTTTTTTCATATAATTAAATCCTAAAAAAATCACAAACATTTATAGTCATCTTTGTAACCTTCATGATAAGGCATCACTTCCAAAAGGGAGCAAAAATGTTTGGACCTAGGTTGCCCAAAACTCAAGAACCAAAAATTTTCAAAGCTTGAAGGGTGAACTATACTGATGAAAAGACCCAAAAGGACCCAGAATCAATTAGGTCCAAGAAAAGTGGGGGAAGAATGAGTGCGAGTTAGTTTTCTGACATGATAGTTATATTCTTTTTCAGAACCTATTTTGATTCTATGAAAAAAAGGTCGCCCCAACATTCAACAGAAGGTAACGGGAAACTAAATCTAGGTTATTAAGAATTTTTCTCTTCGAGATAGTAAGTGTGTATGGGTTGATTGTATATTTTATTTTCTGTTTATTAATCGTGCATATTTACGATCCTTGTGGATCCTAGTTGGGCATAACGAGATTTCTCCACTGTGGATCTTCCTTGGACACAGGGCGGACGGACGGGCGCAGCCCAGAAGGACGGGCGAACGAGCGAGATACCGGGCAGGCGGGACGGCCCGACGGCTCCCCTAAACTGCAGACGGGAAGGGGGAAATGTGAATCAGATGTGAGTCAGATGTGAACCAGAATCCATGATTCTTGGCGGCGCTGTCAACCACCGGCACCCGGCCTGACCCCCTTGTCTCTGGGAATCTCTGTCGTCGTCTTCATCCTCCCAGCCGGACTGATTGGGAAATTTGAATAATAATATAAAGTTGGACTTTCAATATTGATAAGAGATTTGGGTTAGCGGACGGAGCTCAAGACTGCATGAAAAGCTCGTAGACGGCTATCGGAAAGAGAAGGGTGACGGGGAGAGGCTGCGTATGGCAATCGAGCTCATGCGGATTCCCATCTCCCGTTCTTCTGCAAGGTCCCTGCTTACTTCCAAACCCTGGATGCGACCATGTGAGGGTAATAGCTCCTAAGCCTCCTGTCACTATCCATCTCTTCTAGTTTTCTCAGAGTCCTGTGAATTCGCCTTCCGTTTTACCTGTCATCTGTTCCGTTGGGCTCTTTCTCTGGTCCCATTCCACCTCCGACATTATTCAGAATATGCTTGTCTCCCGTTTAACTCAGGGTTTTGTATACAGTTTGATGTCATTTCATGCTAATTCGTTTTCTGTTGACATTTATTCTCCCATTTTGAGTTTCTTTCTTTTTCTCGGTAGTGTTTCTTTCGATGTTCTGACGTTGGCCTCTCTCTCTCTCTCTCTCTCTCTCTCTCTCTCTCTAGTGATATGTGGTGGTGCCAGTTCTCGCCTCTGGATACTTAGAACCTTTGCTACAGCAAAACCTGAGAGACTTGTAGTTCCAAGGAAGTGAGTTGGATTCATCTTCACCTCTTTCTTTACACTTTTCAAATTGAAGTTGCATGTGGTTTCGAAATTTGGTGGAGCAAATGATAATGGGTCAGAGTTATTTCTGCGTATAGACAGCTTAATGCCTCGAGAAATTTAGTTTGGATGATTTGACTTTATTCATTAGGATATCATTTTCTAGAAATAAAGGATCTATTTCTCAGTGAATATCGCTCTCTGAAGGTCTTTCATTAGGATGAAGTTTCCTGGGAAAATATATATTCATGTGAAAGAATCCAGAGGTTTATACCATTTGCAATCTGTCACCATTCATTGCTGTTTTCTTGCAGGAAAAGGAGATTAGATGAAGTATGCCTTGAGAGATATCAACAATATAGCCGTACCTTCATTCAGTCATGGATCTTACAAGGTCAGTAACCAAAGCATAGTTACGTTTTGGCTGATCGTAATGGCAAGTTGATTTACTATTAGTTTAATGATAGCTACTCTTGAAAGCATGCGTGCTTTGATCTTCTCAAAAATATTGGTTAGTCTGTGGATGCAAATTGGATATAAACTACAAGTTTTGAAGTCTCTGGTGACTGTAACCGGATTCTTTTGGTGCTCATTTCTGCATAGAAACGAGTAGATGTGCCTTTTTGACTTTCTGTGTACTTTGTTTGTAGTGCATATGTTCTTTAGTAGTAGTGATCAAATCTCTGTTCAATAGGAAACTTCCCCAAACCTGACTTTGTCTCTTCCATCTTTTCCAATGGTATGAATTCCAGGCAAAGTTTTTGTGGATGGAAGGGTGGTAAATAAAGCAGGAACTCTTGTCTCTGATAAATCAACTGTGGAGATTAAAGCTGAAGTTCCAAAATATGTCTGTAGGTGATGAGCAATCAATACTTTCCATAATTTGAAATAGTGTAATCACATTTTAGGTCTGTGATAGAAAATCTATTAATACGTGTTTTAATTTATCTGTTTTTATATCCTTGTCTCCAGAGCAGGATACAAGCTGGAGGCGGCAATTGAACAACTAAATGTAAACGTTTCTGGAAAAGTAGCTCTTGACTCCGGGCTCTCGACTGGTGGATTCACTGATTGCTTGCTTCAATATGGTGCATCTTTTGTTTACGGTGTTGATGTCGGTTATGGACAGGTATTGTTGTTGGTGATGCATGAATTCAATTCTCATGTCCAATCCTAAAAGCCAGAAGGTGTGAGGTTTTCAATACATGTTGTTTGTCATAGATTTTCGATAGATCTGCTTGGAAAATTAAGTATATTGGTGGACAAAATCCTCTGACTCATTTCAAGGAATATCCTCTAAATTCAAACGTCTAAAAGCTAGGCAGACTTGTGAGTGATCTCATTTATTGATAGAAGAGTGCTCTGTGTTATTGAGGGAAACAGAAGCCTTATAGAGAGTGGCTATTGTTTTTGTTTCCTATCATTTCTTATCACAGAAAATGTCTCAAGACAGACTATGTTGCACACTTTTTGCCCCTTTTGCTTCTGATGTCATGGAACTCCTTGTGAAAAAGAATAGTCTATCGGTATTGCTGTATGTGTTTAGTTCTGGGTCTCATCTTATAAGATAGTAATGTGGAATATTATTTTTAAATCAGTACAAAAACTGTATGGCCTTCCGAAAATGCAGAAAGAAAGCTAAACTGGTCTGTCAATCACCATAATGCTGCTTAATTCATCCTCACGAAAATATCAATTGTTAGACGTTTGATTACTATTATTGATAGTTCCTTTCTTATCTTTTGCTTCCTAATCCAGTCATTATTCCCAGGTGATAATGTGAGTTTAATTTATACTCTTATTCCTAAATTTTATGATGTATACATTGGTTTGCTCAAGACCTAGATGAAATTCTACAAGTAAAAATCCAAAATACGAATTCGTAGGGTTTTTTTTTTTGCTAGAGGTATCTGTATCTATCAACATTAAGTTCGGACTCGATGACATCTGAAAACCCGTTTTACATCCGATTAAGTTTTTTTTTTAATTCAGGATAGAATAAAAAGTAAACATGTAGAACATTATATCATCTTCTCAGAGTCTTGATAATGAAGGGAAGAGATTCCGTCCTTTAATAGATTTTGAAACTTAGTAACCCGCATTAGTTGATTGTTAAGGCACATTTGATCTTCTCTGTAGTCTCTGGTATCTTCTGTAAGAAAATGACACTGCATGTCAGAACGCTTTATCCATTGTGATTTTTAAGACTCAAATGTCATCCGACTGTGGAATATCTTGCATGAAATTCAATCATGCTGGCTAACAATTATATCCACATTAAGTTTGAAACCTGGAAAATAAATTACTCTAATTTGATTGTCAAACGCAAACGATCTACAGTGGCTCTAAGAATGGATCAACGAGAAAAGCACATCTAGTTAATTATTCGGGGATAGCTCACTCTTACCGATTGACGGAGATTTCCAAGTTTGATTCCTGAAACAAAAGGCATTAAAATGCCCTTGAAAGAACTTTTACATTGGTTTAAGATATTAAATTTCGTATAACTTTTTTCTTTTTCGTTTGATGACACATCGAAAAATGCAAGAGAATTGATGTAATAGAAGGTGCCAAATGAGAATGTAGTTTTTTTGTTAATGTTGTGTGCCTGATTCAGCTATCATTCTTGCAACCTGTTATCCGAACTTGACGATAATATGAGATACAATTGACTGGAGAGCATATTTACCTCCTCTTCCTTTTTGTGACCTTGGCAGTGATGAGTGAACGACCAAGATGCCTGAGGTGTTGCTCAATGTTTCTGAGTTCAGTGATGAAAATGTTTTCATCTATGTTAGACAATATTTTAGCGAAACTATATTTCTAAGTTTTAACACTTTATGATTAGTACAGAATTTTCAAACGTGAAAATATCACATTGTCAAACGTGATTTGTGTTGAAAAGTTTTAGGGACAGATTTGAAATTGCATGTGATAAAGTATATATCACATTGTCATTTCTTGTAGGTAAACTATTACTTTTAGAATTTTGTGATAGAAGAAATTTGCAATTTCAGCATGAAGTTTGAGAGACCAATCTCCAGGATTTGATGCGCTGATGATTTACATTTAGAGATGTACCTCTGAGGTGTAAAAGTTAGAAGGCTATGAACCAAAGAGTTATGACGACTGGTTCTAATCCGATTGCTGTAGAATGGAGTATCTTCACCCTAGGATTGTACTCGTAGCTCTTTACTTGAGCATAAAATGAGCGTGATGAATATTTTAGTTCTTTTAAGACTTCCCGTTTGAGAATTTTTATTTTTCTTCTTGCTGCCCTATTTTCGTTGTATTTTTCTTGAAAATTCTATTCTGTGCCTTAGAGTTCATGCTCCTAATGTTTTCACAGGTGGCTGAAAAAATTCGGAAAGATGAACGAGTATGTATTATGGAGAGAATTAATTTAAGATATCTTCCAGGGCTCCCGCAGAAAGTGGATTTGGTGACTCTAGACTTGTCTTTTATTTCTATACTTACGGTAAAGTTTTAATACAGAAGAAAATATACCGATTTATTGTGGAATGTTGCATTCTAGTTGCATATGTTCTCAAACCTGAATTTGACTCCACTTACTTTAAATACATATATTTCTATCAACGTTATACTACATATAATGGTTGGTACATACCTTGGTATTTGTCTTGCTCGGGTTACATGAGTTAGGATGCCATTATGTAGTTAGTTCTCAACTCATACGTCTTAATTAAGTGATATTGGAAGAGTCTCCAAATGAAGGGCCTCGATTTTTTTTAATTTTTCTGTTGCAAGCATTCAGTCGATTACTTGGGTGAACAATAAAATCACTTAACTTTTCGCAATAATAATTCAAAACTTGAATTATGAAGAGAAATAATAATATCTGCTGAGGAATCGGATCTTAGGAAAACATTTACCACAGATGTACAGAAGTCGCACGGCCAAAGGAAAATGATCAAAAGCTTGTCTCTTTTTCATTTTTGCAAATCATTGAAGGAAAATGAGACTACCTCAAAGGTCTCCACCTAAAGAGACAAACCAAAGCCAGCGATCACTAAATGAACCCCCAATACACATGACTGTATGTTTTAATTCAATCTTTATTAATGCTTATGGTATTTTTCAATCCCTTTGGTCTGACGCAATCACAAATGGATGACGGTGGCGTCTAATAGATCAAGTGATTGGTTTTGTTAACCAGTGTTAGAGGACGTAAACCAAACTTGATTTCCCCTCAGAAAGTTTCATTAATCGCGTGGGTATGAAAACAGGGATTTGGTTTCTTCAATCAGAACAGAGCATTGGCGATAAGTGGGGGTTCGTTGAAGAAAAGAATGAAGTAAAAAAATGTTGTGAACATTAACCGCCATGGTATATTGGAATCAGGTGCTCTTTCTCCAGGACATCTTTTTTTCAATCATATGATGAAGAATATCTTCATCCCTGTGGAATCAGGCTGCAAGAAGTTGGTAACATGGTCGACTTTGAAATATGTTCTCCTCTCTAAACATGTGAGTCAGAATAGGATGCAGTTTATTTCATGTTTCATCTTGGTTGGGTAATTGGTTACCTCTAGCATGCAAGGGAAGAAGAAACGAATCTCTTCTTTTTAAGGTCCTAGGTCTTTGAGGGACTCCCTGATGATTCCTATTTAATGAAGTATTGGAAAAAAAAAATCTCGGATAAATGATAAATGTTGATCCATAGATAAAGAAGACTATTATTTCACTGTCATCAGCCTGGAAGTAGATTATAAAAATGTGGATATGATCGATTGGTGTATTAGTGTCTGAACATATGATTACATAGGATCGATGTATGACAGTGGGCACTCTGTCCCAATTCCCTCTGTAAAATGCTGACTAATTTGTTCAACATTTCGTCTTTCCATGAACATATGTCCTGTGTAACATTAGGATGGGAGAAGTTTCGGCTAATTTGTTTATCAGTCTCAAAGGGAACCTTAATTATCCAGGACTTGGTTGCTTCTCAAGGATCATAAACGAAGAGCATCTCTCAACCCTAGACAGACATTGAGTAGGTTAAACAGAGATAGGATCAGTTGTCGTTGTAGTCTCTTGTCGAATTTCTGGTCATGCGTAGGTGAAAAGTTCTATGGATAGAGCTTTTCAGGTGTAACTTGGGAGCTCAAGATTGAAGGTAGTTTTTCTTGACACTCAATGGCAGTAGAAGCTTGCATCCTTGTGGAGTTTCTGATGTGGAATCATCAGCTTCATCGGATAAAGAATATCCCTGGCTTTATTTTCTAAGACTGTGTCCTGATTACTTGACATAGTGACGGAGATGACGGATCAGAAGCATTCTTCTAGCTGCCATGTGTTGGCCATTTGGTGGTATTTTGGGATTTTCCAAGGAACTTTGTGGGGGCTTCTCTGTCATCGGGGATGTTGCTTCTTTGCTTTGCATTTATGTGTCTATGCCATAGTTGCTTGGATATTGAGACAATATCCGTTTGGCGCCGTAGATGTTCTCAAGTGCTTATCATCTGTAAAATATGACCCTCTACAAGTCTTTCATTAAATTTTGCATCTTTTTTGTTTTCTCTTTGAACCATAGTTGTCCACACTGAGTCTGCCTCATAACGGATTGTCTGCTCCAGAAATAGGCTTTGTCTGTTCATTATTTTTTGAATCCCTGGCCCATTTACTGTTCACTGCTTGAAAAGAGTCTCAGTTATTCTGCAATTCTCCTCCACTTCCATGCCTTCTTGTTCACAGTTTTTTTTTTTTCCTTCGATGGTTTCTTCCGCTAACTCAGGTGATGCCTGCTGTGGTTACGGTCATGAAGGAAAACTCTACCCTGGTTACGCTGGTTAAGCCTCAGTTTGAGGCACGGAGATCTCAGGTTAAGCCTCTTCGTGTTACTTTGGTGCATACATGGTAGAGTTGCATATATTATTACTGGGTAGTCGTAATGTGGGCTCTCTTCTTTTCACTGTATAATCCTCGAATTTGTGCCAAACATCAATTATCATTCTCATTCAAAATCCATTCTCAGTTGACTTGGGCTCACCACAGATCTCCTAAGATGAGATGTGGCAGGAATCAGCAGTTGTTCTTGCTGACTGTCATGGCAAAAGGTTAGATCATTGCGTCCCAACCACTGACAAAGATTAGTTTTCAGGGAGTGCTTGATTCCAGGGTCTTAAATGATAGTAGTTATAGAGGTTACCAATTTAGTGTGGGTTGGGCACAATTGCAAATGAAACTGAGCTATATGAGTCTACGTAAAAACCCATGGAGGTAATAATTTATCCCTCTTGGATAAATTTAACAATGCCAATAACCGAAAAGCAATAAAGTAATCCAAGGACTACGCATATATATATATCTAAAACTTTGGCCCTGTACCATCAAATCTTTCCAAGGTTAGTAGTAATCGATTCTTCAGGGTGAGAGGGTTCTTCCCACCAAGTCTCCCACTATTTCATCTTTCTAAGCGCCAGTCTCTGCCTGCCATGCCCACATAATCTGTCAGATTTCATAATATGTTCTCATGTTTCTGTGCCTCAGATTTAATTACATTCGGAGAAAGCTAACATTTATCTCATATAAAAGCAACTCTAATTCTTCTTTATAGCGTTGACTTTTTATTTTTCTTCCAGGTGGGTGGAGGCGGAGTTGTTAGGGATCCTCAAGTTCATCAGGAAGTATGGATATTTTTTTTTCCTTTTATGGACGTACACTAAATTATAGAAATGGCACACACAGCACCTTGTAAAACCTTCTATAGGGTTATTTTGGAGTATCTCTCAAGTGAAAGTATCCCCACTACTTTATAATTTATTTATTTATATTTGAATAATTTATTTTTTAATATATAATGTGTTCTCAAATCTGCTCTCAACTTTCTTGCTTTCTTTAGGCTCACTATTTACATAAGTATACATAACCGGATTCGTTTCTTTGCGCACATATGGTGTCCAACAATAGAAAAAAATTCTCGCATCATATCCTTCTACACAAGCTCCCGGTGACCAATCCTAGGTTCATTTTCACAAGGGGAATGGATTTTCTCTTCTCCATGCCTTTCTGAGCTGCCGATATCTGGTTGCTATGTACAGGTCCTTGCAAGGATAACGAAGGGAGTGGAGGCCCTGGGCTTCTGCAGCGAAGGGTGGATAGAGTCTCCCCTCAAGGGTGCAGAGGGGAATACCGAGTTCCTGGTCTGTTTCCGACGAACACCGGAGAAGTCACCATGAGCGGTGGCTGGAGCTCATCACCTCACCTCACCTGCTGTTGCTCGGTAGGAATTCTCTACCATGCAATCGTCGTTGGATCATCATGTTGTTCTACCTTGGGACAGACCAACAACACCCACTTTGTATGCCTTGAAGTCACTCACTGGGTATGTATGTGGCAGCCACTGCCACAAGAACAGGTCAGAGGGTGAACAGTGCTGCTGAACTGGTTGACCCTCTGAAAGGGAAGCTTCATCCAGTACCTTGTTCCACATGGATGCAGCATATTCCATCACCATGAAAAGGATGCTCATGGTACATGGAGATGTCGTGGCCTGTGTTACTCATGAGTTCAGGTGGATGTTCCTACCCAGTGAGGAAGAGTAGGATTGACCTCCGTCCATCTTTCAAGAAATGTCCGAGCAGCTTGGCGGAAATCTGTTACTGAAAGAGTTCCATCCCATTTATGTTGTCCAACCATCATCCAAATGCTGGATTCTGAGATTGATAATGGCTCAGTGCTCAAGTCATTAATTGCACCAATGAAATAATGACACTAACTTAGGAACAAATTACATAGACAAATGATTCATAATGATAGACACTCACATCAAGATTGATTAAGTAAGATTTTGCTTGGGTGTTGTTTGGCCCAAGGATTTTATCTAATCAAAGAACAATTAGCCTTTGACTAACTACTAGGCAGTTAGGATGTGTTCAGGTCGATCCACAGGGAGTGAGGATTAGATGACTTAGCAGCTACTGACTCTAGTGAATAAAGTGAAGAGATGAGACAGTATAAGAAGAATGAAGTTAAGCTTAGAAGGGAAGAATGAAGAGAAGGTTAAATACAGGTTGGTTGGGTGGTTTTTAACAAAGTCCTATAGATTGATTCTACCCATTCTAATACTAACCTTGCTTAATCTTGTTATTAAGCATGAATTCAATCAAATCAATGAAAAAATAACCTTATGCATGTATATTTTGCCAAGACCAAGCAGATTACTGCTTCAAGAAAGTATCTTAATAATTCAGAAGAAGGGCCAAAGTTTGAATCAGCAAGTACACTTTAAAATTTGATGCGGAACGGAACTTCAATGCTGTTTCATATAAGCCAACCTTAAATTGAGACATCAAAAGTTAGATTTTTTCGCCCCGAAATGAGTGATTTTGTTCATGAGAGTTGTCCAAGGTCAAGGACATGTGTAAAGACTTTGAAGGCGTAAGGTTGTCCTTGTCCTTTTAAATATTTGAAAACTTGATTTTCATTTTGTCAAAAGGCCAGTTAAGAGCACCGGATTTGTCGAAACTGTCATGGCCGCCAGGTCTCACTTATCAGTGAGACCCATTGTACAACTGAGAACCAAGATCGGCAACTTTCAATTGCCTTCTTCATCTGCTGATGCTACATATCGGTGTCTGCTTTCATCACACTTGATCTTGTATTCCCTTTGATTACCAACTCTGTTGGCGCCATGCGTCAGCTCCTAGCAGTTGTCACTTTTGATTAAAATCTCCATCACTGAAGTTTCAAATGCCCCTGAAAGTCATCAAATAGATCCCGGAAGAAATTCCTAGAATTCTAATTAAACAAGCATCAGAAATTTCCGAATTTTTTTTTGTAAAATATTTCAAGTCCTAAAGAACTATCTGAAAGAATAAAATTACTATAAATCTGAGCAGATAACATGCTACATTGGTGCATTCAAAGCCTAAATAGATATGATAGGTTCATACATTTCTCTATGTTTTTTTTAACATATTCTGAAAGACCACCAGGAAGGAAGCTTGCTGCCACATCACGGATACCACTGATATTGTTTCAAGTCAAGTAATTGGTGGGTACAGTTCTCTGCAAGAGCTTGTTGTAAAAATCATAGGTGTGTTTGTTATCAGACTTCCTTCCATCAGGCTTTTGATTTGATTTCTGATATATAACCAGTAGTGTAGGTCAGCAAAGATGCACGCGCCGTTTCCTACAAACTTTATGAATTTGCAAGCACCAAGGTGCCGGCAGTGGCTGAAAGTCTCCCGAGGAAGATGAGGAAAAGCAACAGGAGGAGAGGGAGAGCCACTGCAGCCACAGCAAGGGTGGTTGTTCAGGTATACACTGCACCAGTGAGACAGGGGAGTGTCTACTTTGGTGGAAAGGCCGAGCTCTGCCGACTGGGGAGCAGAAAGGGAGGAAGGTGACGCTCCAGAACCGCCAGCAGGTCCGTGCTGTTGGTTCCCTTGTCCGGTAGCTGGTTAGCAAGCCTTTGCACTGCCTCCACCAGCTGCCCTCTCAGCCGCTGCGAGAGCAGCCGCCCACCGGCACCTGCATCTGCGCACTCCCTGTACAGCGGCAAGTATGCGATGGCAGTTCTCAAGGGCGAGGGAAGGTCCCACAGGCAAATCGGAGACCGACCCAGCACCAGAATCCTCATGAAATTTACATAGTGCTCCTGCCCGCAACGCAGCCCGGCGGAGAAGGCAGCCTCCGACCAGTGCTCCTGCAGGAAAGCCTTCAGCTCCGGAGCCACTGACTTGTCATCCGATCTGGCAATGCTGTCAGCAACGGCGTATGTGGCCTCCGAATCCCCAAGAAAATCTGACTGGAGGAGGAACGCGACGCCGTTGAGGGAGCCCCCGCTCCGCTCCCCAGCCGCCTTGAGGATCTCAATGCTCAGGGCCGCGAGCACGTGCTGGGGAACATGTGGGAGCAGAAAGGTGGCGATGTCAAGCTGGCTGCTTGAAGTCGCAGCTGTGAGCGCGAGGCAGAGCTCCATATCTCTGCAACCGCGGTCGACAAACCACTGCACAACCTGCATGCAGCCTCTCTCGGCAGCTCTCAATAGAGGGCCCAGGAAAGCAGCGGCATTGCCTTCCTCAACTAGGCACTCCATTGTGCTGATCTTACAGTAATGGGACGCAAAACCCAGGGCAAGGTCAACGTCCACGTCCAAGCTATTTCGTTGTGCAATCTGGAGAACAAAAAATGTGTGAGCAAACTAGAACAATGCCAACCATTCAGACTCCATCTACGGAATCAACTAAGCAAGTAGTTAAAACCAGCATCTCTGCAACAACTGACAAAACAGCAATGAGATTGATAATGCACTTCTCCAAGCAATTTGACCTTATAGTCGACTATCTCGAGAAAGTCAACGTAATCATAAGATAGTGAAAAGAGCTATTTCGTCTCCCAACACGGCCTTCTGAGAGGGATTCAGATTTTAACAAGGTATTTTGCCAAGATGTAGTCCAAAGAAATCAAATTTATATCATGAACAGTTTCTTTCAAACTGTTCAAGCCTCCCTACCCCAACTGGAACCACGGGGGATAAACCTGCTGCTAAGACAACGATACAAATAATCTTTTTCCTCTCGTACAGCCCCAGGTCAAATTTTTCCAATGTCAACATTTCCATTTTAAGCTATTCTTCTTAACTGGTATATTTCTATTAGCAGAAGACATAATTTTTTCTACCTTTCTGCCTTGTATTCACCAGACTGGTTTTCCGCGAAACGACTGCTTATACACAAAAGCAGAAGCAAAGGAGATTAAGGATGTCCGACAGTGAAAACTTGGGCAAGAGGGAACTCAGAATGCATGTAGAATCATGGAGAAATTTCTATATGACAGTATCAAAGAGAGATTATACTGGCGGAAAGAAAGTAAATCTGAATGTTGAACAGCTTGAAAAGCTCCATTATGAAAATTTTGAGGCCACGAGATGTTCTTCACAGGAAATGGGCTGTGAAAAGGAAAATATAAATATGGCATGGAAACCCGATTATTTTTGACCGAGTCTAGGAGATATTCACATAGGTTACTGCATATTCCAGCGTTTTTCCCATTCTATTCACTAGTTGGAGTGGAATCTGGAACCATGCATGTTAAGATGAGCTACGAGACGATTGAAAAGAAATTTCTGAAAACCCTAATATAAAAAATGATCGAATAATTGAAATGAACACCGGCAAACCACCTGTAACAAAATGCGAACAAGCTCCGTGCTCCCAAAGCGTGAGGCTTCAAGAAAGCATTGGTTAACGTTGTCTGCACCGCCCTCCACCAAAGTGCCCAGCAAGCCTTGTACCACAGTTGCTGATATTCCAGATGCCCAACCTGGATCAAATGAGCTTGAGAAGAGAGTGAGAGGGAAGCATGCTGCATCAAAGGCCTCTGTGAAGTCCTTTCCAGTGAGCTGATTTCCAGCAAGATCCAGGAATATCTTAAATGCAGATAGCTGAAGTTGAACCTCGACTATTGTGTTTTGATTCACTCCATCCCTACTCCCCTCACACCTAGAATGGGACCCAATGCATTTCAATGCCCATTCTGTGAACTTCTGGACTTTAGCACTGGCTTCTTCCTTCAACATCTTGTCTCCATTACATTCCTGAAGACGCTCATGCAACCTGGAAAATGATCAATGTCAGAATAGCAAAAACCAGCTAGACAAACCTGGCAGACTCACATGTACCAGATGAAAACCATCAATTTCCTTCACTTTAATCACTGAAGTCGCAGTTGAAGCAATCTTTATTTATTATTTGCAGAGTCAAAAAGAGGAAAGATGGAAGGATCTTATTTCAATATAATCTGTAAAATAACTGAGGTCAAGGTACTAAATTAAATATAAAATTTAAAACCTTTGGGCCATGACAGAGACAGTATCTGGTAAGCTCATCGTCCTGCTCTGACATGTGGAAACACAAGAAGCAAGAAAAGATGTCCTGAGTATTGCCCGTGTAAAATCATGAGCACCATTTGCAACAATCTTTTTGATCAGTCCAGTGATACCATTCAACTGTCGATGTGTGGTCAGAAACCATATTGAGTCCAAGGCAGTACAGAGTGCATCATTAAGAGTCTGAGGATCTGCCAAAAGAACGAGGCTTTCAGCGAGTTCCCAGTCATGAGAGCTCACTGCTCCTTGAAATAGGCGCCCAAGCTCAATCCGGTCCTGCCTGCTGAGCTTTCTCTCCTCCCCATCTTTAAGCTTTTCCTTTTTGCGAACCTCAGGATTGTCTGAGAGGGCTGGTGAACATGACCCAAGTTTCTTGGAGCTGCAACTGCATTTTTCACGGATTTCACTGTCGTTTTTCAGAAGTGGTGCTTCCCTTGAGAATACCACTTCACTCGCCTCGCCTTTCTCCGGGTTTGTGGGCTTGTCACTATCTTCGTGGTTCTCTGAAGCACCGCATTCATCCATCTCCATCACATTACAGGAACGAGGGCCATCAGAAAGAATCCCCTTTGCCAAAACTGGACCGTCCTTCTGCCCAGCGACTACTCTCGCATCCTCCATGTTGCAAGCTCAATCTACTGGCCTCTTGATCCAAAAGGTACAGCCGAACTCACGGACAGCTCCTTAATTCCATGAAAAGCAACAAAAAATGGAGATGTTGTCCAGGGATGAGAAGTGAAACCTCCTGATTGGGTATCCCAGATGCCCAAAACCTTGCTGGAGGAAACCCAGAACAAGTAAACACGAATGGAATAGAATCCACCTCGGGCGCAATTGAGCGTTACGGTTTTCGTACAGTCGACTGCACCACCTCTGTTATCGTCGATTTCCCCACTGAAAACCAGAGTCACACGCTACATCCCCAAAGGCGAAGCACAAACTGTTCTCCACAGGAAAGAGGACTCAGACAGACATATATAATAGGAGGCTTAAGAATAATCCTACGCCATCACAGCGCCCTCCCGGCTATCAGATACGCATGCACGGCCTGAACAAGTAAAAGATCCAACAACATGAATCAGATTAAAGAACAGCACCGCGGCGCAACATCAAACAGAGAGAAAGAGGGCTCCAAAGACAGAAGAAAAAAGAGGATAGAAAAACGAAAATCCCAACTCTAAAGCGGCAGAACAAAAGTAGAAGCGTAATGAAAATAAAATTAACAAATGAAATCCCATAATCCGGAAGGCGCAGAATAAACCAACAGCAGAAATGCTAATAATTAAGAGGGGTAGAAAAAAATTGAGTTCTAAATACGCGGAAATGATCGGAATAAGAAACCTAACAAAATAATCAGAAATGGCCGACCAAAAGTACATGAACAAAGGGAAACCACAATCCGGAAGCTACAGAAGGGCCCGAGAAAAAAAAGAGGAGAAATAAAAACAGAAGTCAGGAAGCCGACACCCAAATAGCAAGAAACGGCCAGAATAGTAGACCAGCCAAGTGAGGAATCAATCAGGAAGTGGAGAGGACCAGGAAAGAGAGAGGAGAACAACAGACCAGGCTCAATCGGGAGACGGATACCAAGAGGCCGGGGGAGCTCCTCTTCCGGCGCTTCCCCAATATCCACCGCCTCTATCGCCGACACGGCCCACGGGGGAGAGCAGACGAGAAGCCGGAGAGCTTCTATTCTCCTTCTCTTCTAGGCACCCTGCAAGTTGCAGAAAAAGGGCACCGCAGGGAGAGGAGGGGAGCTGCTTTGGATCCTTCTAAACACGTACCCATATTATTAAATAATTCATATTTAACCTTTACGAAACATAAATTCTCGCTTCATCCTTGTCTCGGAAGGGACATCGGGAATCCGTCGAAGTGGTGGTATTATAGATCTGCCCTCACACAGAAACTCGCTCCCAGAAACCATTCCAGGCGTCATTCTTCCTCTTTCCACGCCAAAAGCAATTTTTGTCCGTAACAAGACACTTACGGCTTTATTACCGGGTATACCCAAAATGCCTCTCCCCTTTGACAATGCCCCCGGCGCAAATCGTTAGGGGCCGACGCGTGGCGACGGACAACCCAAGATTCTCTGCGGGCCCCGCACCAATGATCGATTTTCCGCCGCCGCCGCCACTTGTTCCCGTTGAAAGCGCTCAAGGCTGGATCGCCAGGCCAAAAGAGTGTGGCCCGTATTCGTGCACGCATCCTTAAAAGGGCCCTCCGAAAAAGCGCCAGCACCCTCTTATAACAAGTATTTACGCAAGAACCCCTATTCTCCCAGGGGGTGATTGCGATGGCCGTGGCTCACACTCGCAGAAGGAAATTCGCACACGAATAGCCAATGAATATAATAAAGTTCATTATAAGATGAAACTATATGAATAGTATCTCATCAATGCATCAATAGCCCAACGAATACAACAATACTTCACGAAACGCAGCTTCTGAGATGAATGATTTGACATGAGAAATATGGATGCTCAGAAGTTTTATCTGATGAAATCATACGATTATGTGAATAATATGTATCAATATAAGGTATCGTGTGAGAATTGACTAAAACAATATGGTTACCGGGCTTTGAGAATTAGCCCGGACCAGAGCTCTGGGATGATCTTGTCGCGTATGAAATATAAATGAATGGAAATAATATGATCGATTCCCTATGATTTGGAAAGACTGGACAGCCAAGGAAGCAGCTTTTCATGGACAGCATCTGGTCTGTCATCATGGGGGCAGTGGCCAACTCCTTCTAGGACATATAGACTGATGTTTGGGAGCCGGGCAGGGAGTGAGGAGAAGTATCTGCCCACAGGGCCATCTAGAGGAGTAAATGGATCTTGATCACCCCACAGTACCAGAACAGGTAGGGATATTTTTGGTATCAGGGACACCGGATTTGGCCCTGGTGGGCCCGTCACGATAGAGACAAATGCATCAAGAGCACCTTCATCGTTGGCTGGTCCCCGGATGATCTGCATGCCATGGAAAGAAAGAATCTCACAGGCAGTCATTTACCTGAAAACATGAAATTTTATGTTACCTCGATGAGATCGTCATCAACAGATTCCTTGTTTCCGTACACTGATTCCAAGATGTTCTTAAGATTGTCTCTGTTTTTACCAGAGGAGGAGAAGACCTGATTAGGGTTTCCCAGTGAGACATGAATGAAGAGTGGAAGCTGTTCTACCTCTGTTTCACGCGATCAAAGAGGGCTGAAGCAATCCATCGCTGCCTTAATAGTATGTCAAATAGCGAAAGGAGAGGGAAAAGCAGCTTGATTCTCCAATCGTCAACGACGGCCTTGTTGTTCATCCCCCCTGCACAGTTCAGAAGCACAAGCCCCTGGACCAGACCTCCGGTGGACTCTGGTCTCCCACAAGGGTGAAGCACTGGGTGGCTTAGAGCTAGTGGCAGGCTAACATGGGTATAGAAGCCTTTTTCTTCAGATAAATCATAAATCATGTCCGAAGATCGTGGAGAATTTATGCATTGTTCACAAACCTGATGCAGCGATAACACAGGCAAGGCTTCCAACTGAGTTCCCGATCAGAACTGTCGGCCTCCTAACTACTTCATCCAGGAAATCCAGAATCAACTATTGAAAGCACACCAGCGGGTTCAATGGGAATGGAATAAGTAGATCAATTTGCAACAAGACACTGTAAATAATTTTTTTTCCTGTATACCTCAGCCCATGTTTCCATGGTATATTCAAATCCTTCTGGCTTGTCGGAGGCACCAAATCCAAGCAAATCGATTGCATAGACTGTGTAGTTCTCGGCTAATACTTCAATATTCCTGGAACAGCAAGAAAATATGGATGTTATCATGAAGATGGGGACCATCAGAATCACGGAGAAGGGCAATCTCACTCACTATATCATCGTCACCACAATCGTTCCATGTATGATCCCAGTGTATTCTATTTCGATCAATGACGGATTCAACAAATGCCACAAGATCGGTATTATTTTGTGCCACTGGAAAGTTTCCTTGTGCATTAAATTGGTAGGGGAAGAAGATCATGAGAAATTTTCTAACCCTAATTCGGCTGGTTCTCGAGACAGGGTAAACGTATGCAATTATATAGAGGAGTCTTGAAGATGAAGAAGACAATGTTACTCATGTCGAGACCATTAGCAGCTCAGTACCTGCGCCAGTGGGGGATAGAAGCGCCGAAGCCGTGGACAAGCAAGACCGGCAGCCGATCACCAGCGACTTTGCCCTTCACCAAGAAGTTTACATTGAACCCCCTCCACTGCCAGGTAGTACAAGCCTCGTATATCTCCGGCAGCTTCAGCTGCCAACCGCTGCTCTCTGCGAGTGCCCCAGAGGCGAGGCGTCCATCTCCGACAACAGCCATCCCAGATCGACGCCCTCTTCGTCTGGACGGAATCGAGAAAGAAGACGAAGACGGCGAGGCAGGCAACAAGAGGCGGGCGGACGGAGGAGAGAGGACAGAGGATGGGGGCATCGCCATGGCAGCCATCTTGCTCAGGATTCCACCGATCCCGCTCGCGATGGAGAAGAAGATAAGGCGTCCTCTGCTTAGCGCTCCCCTTCCGTTCACTGGCGGAAGATTCCCAACGGAATATTGCGCGGGTGTTGAAATAAAACCTTAGAATAACCATAATTCTCTTCCTGTCCCCATGACGTGGACGCGGGAGATGGGGGGCGGGGCCGTCCGTTAGGTTGCGTTTAAAAGACCAGACAATAGAGAAAAACAGAGTTCATTCGTCCACTGTTTCTTACACGGAGAAGAAGAAGAAGAAGACAACGGAGGAAGAGCCAATAGGGAGGAGGAGGAGAAGGAAGACGAGATCATCTGCGCGGAGGAGGAGAAGAAGATCATCTTCTTCCTGATCTCAAGCGGAGGGGGGGCAATCGGGCTGCACCTCGGGGCGGGCTGCTTGGAACGCCGGGATCTCGTCGTACGCAGACATCAGCCGAGCGAGGATGGGGTAACGGCCCTGAGAGTTCCCGGAGAAGATGGAGCAATCTCATGTCAGCGCAAGAACGAACAGAGCCGCACAGCAACACAGCCGAGGTGAGTGGATTGAAATGCTTGAACATAAACTGTAATCACCTCCATATATGCGGTCATACACAGCTTGAAACAACACAACTCGTTCGCCAGGACGTGTAAAACGCAGAAAAAAAATCTACTCCAATTATCAACCGTCCTTTTGATCGATGAACTAAACTGCGTTCCCGATAAAACAGGAAGATGCGGATCAAGCTCTGGAATATTTTTCAAGCAGCCCGATCGCACTTACCATGTCGATATTGAACCGAAAAGCTCCAGCGTAGAGCTGTGGCGCCAGAAATACATCAGCCTGCAAGTGGAAATAATAGAATTTCATCAGCTTCATGCACCAGATCATCTTCCAGAGGTGAATTTTACCTGAAAACCAGTACTCCTGTTTGGGAACCCGGAAATAGGTCTGAGTTATGTCAACTAGTAGTAGTCCCTGACTTCTCCATTTCAATAAAGGATGAGGGCTTGAGATGAGGGAGTGGAAGAGGGCTGCTCATTTTTACATGCAGGAATTAAAATTGACAAGGAAAAGCAAAAGAACTTGAGAAAACAGGAGGCGAGCATACCAGAAAGATTTCATCTCCTGTGGCATACTTTCCCGCATGCCGTTCTAGAAGCTTTTCAAGGGCTGAAAATCTCACGGGATGATGATAGATCAGTCAGGAAAACGAAAGCGCCAATCAGACAGATGCAAAGGACCGAGCAATGGCAGCTCAAAGAAAGATCAGCAAAGGAAAACATATATGGCTGTCGAACGGCGGAAGAAAGATCCGGACAGAATGATTCTGACCTTCAAACCCCGTTTCAACGTGATGCCGCGCCCATTCAAGTCTTTTGTCAGCATTTGAGAGCTCCTCAATGTAATTCTGTGGGTGAATGAAGACCATTAACCTTCTGAACCGGCAGCATTGCTAGTGATTAATGGAAACCCCCCTTACCAGTACATTAAGATTCTGAAGGGGTTGTATGCCCGAGAAAACGATGTTTGCCACCTATAATCAAAACACCGCAGCCGCTCACCATCAACCCACCCAAGAGTATCATTGTACACGTACCGAATTATTTCAGTGCACAAATAAATCAAACAGGAGGAACCATTTGATAGAGAGCAAGATATCTAGAGCTTCTCAACAGGCACCACTCAATGTATTTGAAATTTCTGACGAGAATTGAAGAAAAGGGGATTCAACTACCTGATAATTGATGGTTTTCTTCAAAAGATCACGAGGGAGCAGTGGGTGCTGAGGATATTTTTCCTCTAAGTACTGTCCAAACCAAGGCAGAAGAGAAAACAAAACATGAGCGAACAGGTGGATGAATCAACAGAGAGAAGAAAGGCATTTTCTACACACCAGTATGATCGCAAAAGAGTCTGCGATGACTGCTCCTTCGTCCACTAGAACGGGTACAAACTTTGAAGGATTCAGCTTCTCGAAATCTGCATTCCAGCCATTGAACGATCGGAAGAATTGGAGCTTATAACCCATCAAACAGTTTTCTCATGTGCACTCAGGTGCCGTGAAATCCAAGAAGATGTTCATTTGTGTATGAATCTGTAGAGATGATGTTAACAGCAAGAGGTTGATGCCCGGCCAAAAGACTGGGTCCAGCTCACCTGGGCTAAACTGCTCTCCTTTGACGAGGTTCACAGCCTTGTATTCGTATTCCAACCCTTCACGGCGAGCAAACCGGGAAGAACGCAGGGGACCAGTCAGTTTGACCATCGCTACCGCTACCAATAAATGGGCACTGAGAGAAGGGGCAGAGCAGGACCCTTGAGGTTGAGCGCGATCCGAACACGGTGAGAGCACGAACTTCGCCAGTATGAGTACAGCATCAGCTTCTTGGCTTCCCCCGCGGCAGCAGCCTTCTGAGGAGCCAAGAAAAACAAGAATCAGAAGAGAGAGAGACGAAAGGAGTCGAAAAGGGAGGGGAGGGCGGGGGAGCTTTCACCTCTGAACCGGAAGCCATGTATGAGGAGATCGAGATTCCCCCGCGGCCCACGCTTCAGAGCGAGCTTAAATCGAAGGAACCCACAAGTCATCCAGGCAAGTCTTATAGGGGGTGAAAGCTCCAGTGGTTAGAGGAGACGGGGAGAAGGATAAGCCGTCTGCATTATTCTCAGAACACGATCGCACCAAGTCAATCCACCAAGCATGGGAGGTGGCAGCCCCACGAGAAAAGGGCGGCGGCCGATCCGACGACTGGGGAAAGGCCGAGTTTTGAAGAGTTTTTATATTGGGCTAATATCGGCGATAATATTTTATTTCCTTTTAAGAGAATGGCCGCACCGGTCTCCTACTCGAGAGAGGGCCAGCCGACACTCTGGAGGAGGGAAGGCAGCATGAGCAGGCGTGGACAGGCAGAGAGGCCGCCCGTCGAATGATGATGCCCAATCGGGTTGACCCCACTGCGATTGACTTGTTAATTCTGATAAATAGATCGATGGTTGCCGATAAACCATTGATAATTTTCATAAATCAGGGGGTTTTTTTAGTCTAAGAGGCTGGTCCAAAAGATTTAGTAAACTAATGTCAACAGTGATCGTCTCTATTTGCCCTCGGAAGGTTGTCGCAAAGCCCGGGCCGCCCTTTTCTGCGAGGAGTTCGCAGGAATCAAGGGATCTTCCTCCGCCGCTTCGTCTTCTTTCGGGACTTCTTCAGCTTCTGTGGGCTGCAGCGAAGATGCTCGAGGACGCCGCCGAGAACGTCAAGCGTTACGCTCCTCCGCCTCAAAGGCAAGCTATCCCTCCTCCTTCCCGCCCCCCTCTCGTCCTCCTATCATAGCTCAACGATCGTTTCACTGGTAAAGCGTGGATGCTCGATTCTGCCGCTAGAATCGTATGTGATTTTACAATTAGCTTTCATCTTCGCAAGATCAATTGGTTCCTGCAAGCTTTCCTTTCTCTGATTCCCCAGCGTCATATGACTGATGCTGTGCATATTTCTCTCCTCATAGGAACCGTGTGCTCAATCGGCGGAAATCTGGAGGTGAGCCGATGCTCGTCGTCTCTCCCTCCCTCCAACTTTTCACTACCTGCGCGATCTTGAGCCGACCATACTTTTATAGTCAGATCCCTGGTGGAGTATCCTGTGATCTTCGTCCAGAAAATACCTTTTTTTTTCCTTTAAAGAATTTTTGGCCTATAAATAAACACATCAGTCTTTTTAGTAAAATCTTCTTATATGGCTCACAAATCTACGCTAATGGGCACCCATCTCACTGCTTTGCTCTCATGACATGAACAGAGGGGATCGACAGAGTAAACTACTCTTATGGGCACAGCGGCGAGAAGAGTCAGAGGTATCCGAGAGCTCATCCTTTCGTTGATGATTATGTGGACATTGGGAACAGAAATGGCCAACACATAAAATTCTCATTCCAGGTTGATTCCTATAGCGGGATGCCATAGCAGTGAGGCTGCAAAGCTTTTGAATGAGCGTAAGTTCCATTGCTTTGGCCTTCAATGCTTACACTTTCCGAGCCTTGTCCTACTGAGTCAGATCGCTAGGAGTGGAGACATAACTCCACCTAATGCTCCTTTTTCAATCTCCCATCTTTACCCAATTTTGCTATTTCATTACATTAATTCGTGTACATGGAACAGCTCAATTCGAGCAATTTTGACTATCGTTGATGTTTTCTATCTCTTCTAGCGTCTCTCTGTCTGTGTAGAGCAATGCCAGTTGCATTACCAGGCGAGGTTCTTCAGTCTTGTGCCTGATTATGTCGAAACCATACCTGTGCGAGCACAAGTTTTAGCAGATCTGGTGCATCACCTGTGAGATTATAAAAGGGTCTCATGTCGGATGATGAAGCTGCTGCCAGATATATGAAAATGTTGGGACACACGATTAATGGATGCATTCAGTTTCTGACATAGTTTTCCCTTCATGAAACGAAAATGTCAACCATCTCTCATCTGCTTCTTTGATTGATGTATATGTTGTCTGCGTTCAACTCCATCCAAAAAAATAAAAAATAAAAATAGGGAGCCTCAATATCATAGGACTTTGGAACTTAACCATATTTCACTCATCTCTTGGATCGCCCCATTTTCTGCTTTCATTTCCATTCCTGATCCATGCTTCTAGATGTAGGAGATTTTGGGTCGTCTCACTTCTAAATCTGGTGTTGACCTCGTCTTCTTGCTTGCTCAGGATGGGCGACTGCCGTGCATTCCTACGATGAACCCACTACGGATTTGTCTTCTGGTAAATGGCTGCCTTTTGAGGAACTGGAGATAAACGTGTTTCTGGTCTCCCCTCCCTCCTGCTTTCACCTCCATCCCCCGTACAATCGATCCCCTGCACAGATAGTGGTGCAGTCTTGAACTTGTTCTCCCATCCATCCGTTGACTTTCTATTTTCTTTTTAACAGAGCGCCCAATCATGTACTTGGGAGCCAGCGACTCATCCTGGGCAGCTCAGCTGAAGTTTCCTCATCAGGTGGGTGGCATCGGTGGCCCCTTTTCCTCTTTCCTGTGGACTTTCATATCATTTCCTCTTTCATTGACTCTCACCTGCGCCATTTCCTCCCTTTCTTCTGCGGCAGATGGACTTTCTGGCTGAGCTTCGGCGTGCCATCCAGAGCTCTGACAGGACTGCCGTTTGACGCTTTTCGTGTAGTATATATGTTTTTTGTGTCATGCATGGCGGGAAGCTTTTCATGTACTATGTATGTATGCACTTGTAGTGTATATATTTCTTGTGTCATTCATGGTATGAAGCTATTCGTGTGGTACATATGTATGCACTTGTAGTATATATGCTCCATGCCATGCATGGTGTGAAGCCTTTCATGAAGTATATATGTATGCGCTTGTAGTATATCTGTTTTGTGTCATGCATGGTGTGAAGCTTTTCATGTAGTACATATGTATGCACATGTCATGAATGTCATGATGCTTTTTGTGTAGTATATATGTATGCACTTTTACTATATATTTTTCATGTCATGCATAGCGTGAAGCTTTTCATGCAGTATATATTTATGTATATGATAAACTACATAAATTTAAAATTTATAAAATTAGAAAATATTAACTTTTATATTTTTATAAATATTTGAACACAAGTATATCATTTATAATTTGATAAAAGAAATTATAAAAATAGTAAAAAAATCAAGTAAATTTAATTGAGATAAGATCATATAAAATTTTAGAAATTTTCATTAAAAAAATATGATTTATTATGATTTTTAAATTAAATGATAAAAATAAAATATATTTAAAAAAATTACAAAAATAAGAAAAATGAGTATAGACATTAGAATGATGTTAGTGTCTTGATGAATCCAATTTAGGCAATGTATATAACTTTAACATCTCTCTTTAAATATGGACAATGTAGATAATATATAGATTTCTTTACAAAGTCTAAAAATTAATAAAATAAGTTGATGAATTGTCTTTGACAGTTGTCACTAAGTATAGTAGAAATTTAACAACTTTCAAAGTTTTTGATAGCCATCACATGACATAGATAAATTAGATAGAGGTGGGACACATCTTAAAGAACTTCATCTTCAAATGTATGTAGCAAAAAGAGGTTATTCATTGCATTTGATATGCTTTGAGTAAATGACAACGTCTCTTAATAGATTGTCTTCTTTTCAATTATGACTCATTTGTCAATCAATCGTAGGTGATTTTTTCAACATATTTGTAATCTTTTAATGTATAATCATTCACTAATTAGGTGATTTAACTACTTAAATAAATAGTTAAAACTTAGAGAGCTTAAGCTCATTCTAAAATTGTTATTATGATATCTATAGTGAAGAACAGTTGACCAAATGAGGCTCTCAATTTGTATTTACTTGAATGATGTTACAAATCTCTATTAAATAGTAATGATTTTGAGTTTCTGATTGAGTGATTTTGATGACTTAGTCGTTAACGACATTCTATAGAAAAATTATAATTTTAATTAAATAAAAATATGAGTTTTGGCTATTATAAGATTTTAACATTTGTCATTTATTTGGTTGGGTAAGATAGATAATTTGAATTACTCACATACCTTTATATAGTGACAATTCCTTCTTATAAATTAGGGATGTTATAGATATAATAATATATAAAACTTATATGTGACTATTGATGTTAATTTAGTCCCACATTAGTTGTTATCCATTATTTGATATGTATATATAGTAATTTCTCATGTATGATTACTCTTTGCTCCATGCTTGTGGGACAATTATACTTTTGACTTATGTGTGGGCTAGACTAATCAATTGGTTACTTTGTGCTTTCAACTTACTTGTGGGATCTATTGACTAGTGGGTCCCCCCTAAAATATAATTATAAAAATTATATAAAATTACATAAAATCACATAATTAATTACAAATTCATATTAATCAACTAAAAAATATTTTCTCAATTTAATATAAATATAAATCATATAAAATTGATTTTGATAAATATAAATATAAAAAATCATATAAAATTGATTTTGATGATCTATTTCTCATAAGTTAGGACTTAAACTATATTATTAATTAATTCTTAAGTCATGATAATAAAGACTTATTAATGTTCATATTATGAATGTATGAGGTATGACACCATATGATCAAAGTAGTTCAATGATGTATAACACGAGATTCTAACACAACTCCTTTAAATGAAAATATATTTAGTTTTGTGAATTTTTGATTGATTTTAAGAAGGCCCCAAAATAATCTTAGAATATCAAAATTATGATTTCCATCGATTAAAAATTTATAAAAATAGATGAAAATAGTCATGATTAAATCGAATGTGGGCCCCTGTAATTAATTATTTTCTATTTTTTTATTTTAAAGGGGAAGTGTGATAAGCTTTGAATGTGGGCCCCTATAAACGGCTGCAGTTGCCCGTAATGCGCACATTTTGGCGACGTGATTATTTGAAGAACCCACGTTCTGGTCCTCGGGCTCATATCGTCGGCCCCGCGCTGTTTGTAGCCGGGAAGGTGGTGACGAGAGAGCGAGGCCTTCGTCGGAGGCAATCTCGTGAGATTTCCTTGTCTTCGCTGCCCCAGGGAGACTGTTGAAACGCTAGTGTACACAGAGAGAAGAGACAGGAGTCGATTCCGTAAAGACCGTCGCTGCTAATACGAACTCGAGACTAGCCATCTCGAATTGGCGACCCCGAGACCTGGGAGGTCTCGGTTCCTTCTTTATCCTTCCCGTTTTCCCTTCTTCTCTACCCGATCACTCCCCATATACGAGGAGTCTTATCCGTAGAATCTGAATCTGGGTGCGTTATCTTTCTTTCTTTCTTTTCCATTGTTGTCTTCGGACACGGGTCAAGCTCGTGGAACTAGATCTAGAGCTGAGTTCCTGAATCTGAGCTTTAGCTGCGTTTTCGCATTTTTCGTTCCCCCCCGAAAATTCCGTGTAGTGGTCCCAGTGTTATTTTTCAGCATGTTCCCGCATTTCTGTTTTTGCTGCTGATTAGTGTGTTCATGTTTGTTTTTCTGCGGCTCCAGATCTCGCTTCTGGTTTCTGACGGCAATGGAGGCCTCCACGGGATTGTACAATCAACTGAAGGTTTGAGATTCTTACCCTTACTCTTTCCGTCTTTTCCCACACAAATCAGCGTTGCATTTGCCCCTGTTCATCTCTCAATCTTTTGGCTCCATATCTTTGAACGTGATCCTCGGCATTTTCTTAATGGATTGAAGCTTGGAGAATTTGTTCATTCTGCTGCTAAAAACGGCATTACCTTTTTTCTTCTTGGTCGTTGGTGGTATGTGAAAAGTATTTTGCAAAATCGAGGGGGTGATCTGCTTCTGTGTTTGCACCTGCGGCTCCAGTTCAAGAGAGATTTCACTCTCTAGAAACTTACAGTCGGCTCCCTTAACAAAAGAAATGATATATATATTTTTTCATTCATGTAATAATTACGGGAACTATGCTCCTGAATCGTTAGATCAATAGAAACATGCTCTTCTAACAGATAAACTATGGATTGGTAATTCTTGACTAAAATAGTTGCCTTGGTGCGTTAAATTGAATAAATTAAGCATCCTATTTCAGGGAACGTTATGCAATATAACATGGTTACCTTGCCTTGGGATGTTGTACGAAATGTCACAATGTAGCTTGCTACTTATATGAGACACGTAGTTTTCTGGTGCATGCGGTTAATATCCAAGATCTTATTCGTTAGTTTCTATGGTCACTTAAAGTCTGTCATTGTATCCTGTTTTCTAAAAGCAAACGTTGGAGACCTGCTGGATTATCTTTGATAAGCTAGAACACTGATGCTATTCTGGGTGTGCAATTTTTTTACTTTGTTTATGTGAGTAATTCGTGAATGGTCTGAACCTTTAAAGATAAAATATTACTTTTTCTCGTCGTCAATGACCCATTTAAAGGTAAGCTATTCTGGACTTACTACCCAGTATAAAATTGCCTTTACTTTGATTTTGTATCCGATGTGCAAAGCAGCTCACCATGAGCTATTCTCTGATGTCTACTTTTGGCAAGCACCATAAAGTAATTGACTTTATTTTGTTGATGTCACAATGTTATCTGGTGACATTGGAGATCATGGGGAACCTGCAGTGGGCTTTGTTTACCCATTCTATTTGTGTTCTCTCAGATTTTCCAATTTTTTGGATGGCTCGTTGCACATAACATCATCAAGGTTCTTCATTTATGTGCAACAGGCTGCTCAACCATTTTTCCTGCTAGCTGGGCCCAATGTTATTGAATCTGAAGACCATATTCTAAAAATGGCCAAATATATAAAGGATGTCACATCGAAGTAAGCAGCCTTTTTGAGGGTGTAAAATATTTTCAAATATATACCATGACTCTTTTTTACTTTAGGAAAAAGGAAATTGTGATCAAACATTACATTTTGTCTCTAACATGGCGTCCCCCATTGTTTACCAGCCTTGGCTTGCCACTGGTTTTCAAGTCCAGCTTTGATAAAGCAAATCGTACTTCATCTAAATCGTTTCGTGGTCCTGGGTTGGAGGAAGGTCTGAAGGTACGATCTTCATTGCTTATAAATTCACTTCACATCTTGTATGAGAAAAAACATTTGATTATAATTATTGCACCATATGGGATTATTTACAATGACGTAGAATCTGGTTTGTTTTATGTAAAAATTCTCTCTTGACACTACGATAACTGACCAATGCGACCAATATGAATTGATTCCTAGCGTGATTGGTTCTTCATTTGGAATCAATTTACGTGAAATCTATTGTGTGATCTTCAATCGTTTTTATAAGTTTGATCTCTCTAAATTTTCTCAACTCTGTCGTATATGCTGATCCCTGTTAATTTTTTTTCTGACAAATCTAGTCATCCTATTTTCGCTAAACATTTGGTTTTTGGGTTTGTGAAGGAGTCATTTCTTTGGTGTTCTGATGTCCTTTTGTTCTAAGATTTGAAAGAATTTAGGCTTCAGTTATGGCGAATAACTTTGATGTTTTCACCTTCTTGATGCCAAACTACCTTTCCCTGGATGAGGAGTAGTCATTCATTTTAGTTTATTTCAAATATTTGGAAACATATTGGTACTGCAGAATTTTGAAGCAGAAGGTACAATATCTTCTTTTAGTGCTGATGGGCGCTGGTTATCTGTAAATGCAGATTCTTGAGAGGGTGAAAACGGTCTATGACATTCCAATTGTAACTGACGTACACGAGACTAGCCAGGTAACCCTCTATCTACGTACTACATTTTTATTGATGTAAAAGTTGATTTGCCTTTCACTCACTTTTTTATAGATGTTTGGTACAGCAAAAATGATATAACGAAAGACATAAAGCAATACTAATTATGAGGGCTTACTTTATGACACGGGAATATTATTTTTCACTTCTTTCCGTCTGGAAAATTTTTAGTGCAAAAAAAATGCGAGATAAATTAATAGAAAGGAAAAGTGTTTCACATGTTTGTGATGGCTATTTCATCAAACTGGCAGATGAATTTCAAGCCCGGCATCTATTTGCTTGTACGTAGGTTAGTACAGCAGGAGAATGCAAAACATTCAACCGAGACCTCTATTCTATTTTCTCTTAAGAAATTATGTTAACGAGGCAAATGCATTCAGTTAATTGTATTGGAGATAACAAGGAAAATTATCTTGACTTAGTTTTATAAGTCATGTGCTGCATCTGCTTCTGTACAGCATCCTGTGTAAATGAAAAAATGTCTTATTAGGTTTCACCTATTTGGAGTTCTTTTAATCTTAATATTTCCATATCCATTGTGCAGTACCCTTGCCCTCTTAATCTATTGAATGGATTATATGTATGCTCTCAAATTTCAACCTTGGATATAAAGTAACAACGGTTGCCGGAATAGTTCTGATATACTAAATAGAAAATATTATGACAGAGTATACTGTACAATCACTAAGCAAAAGGAAAGAAAGTATGTGCAGAGTACGTGTCTTGTAGGCTTTTCAATGCTTCCTCTTTACATTAGCTATGCCCCACATCAAAACGTTGTAGGATACGCCCTGAAACACAAACTAAAGTTCGATGAGAAATTCTCACCCGCTCTCTAGTCCTCTCACGCACCCAAGTAAAAACGTTTACTACTGAGATGATTTGTCCATAAAAAATACACTTGTTTTTTCCATCCAAATAGTCCAGGGGGCTCCATCAAGAATAAGCCACCAGATCCTACATGCCCTTTTCTGTGTCTGGCTATGATTCCATTTTCACTTTGATTTATATCTTGGTTGGGTACTGCCATTGTATACCTAATTCCTGGTGTACCATCTACTTAATTTGTGGGGAAAGGGGGCTCCATAGGAAGAAGGGTGTACTGGGAGGAGAAGCAAGGAGATCAACCTGTTTTAAATGTTCCCATCCAGCAATGTTTTCAAGGAATCATCCTCCTCAAAAACTGGACAAAATGTAACTACATTCTACAAATGGAACCCGGTGGTTAGATATCAGTAACCTCCCATTCGAGATGTTTTACGCTAGAATCTTTACTATTGATGGAGAACCGTTCAATTTCTAATCTCCAACACCTTGATCTTTTTGTGACCTCAGTAGGGACGAAAAAAGCCCAAGGAGGTTTGCTCATCGTAGAATTGCCTCTGATCCCTAAAACGTTTCCTCGACCTTAGTCAAGAGCCTGATTTTTCTTGACTCAGGGAAAAAAAAAAGTTCTACCCTGAAGAGACATTGAAATTTATTGTTAAAAACTGAGCTCCTGTAGCATGTCCTAAAATAAAGGCCATTATCATTGCCTGAATAGATCTCTGAAACTGCTACCATCAAATATGCTTCATGTAAAATGTCTTACATTCTAATCATGTCTCCACTGGTGAGTGGCGTTGGCTTGAGACTTGTATGAAATTTCACCCCTGAAGGAAAGATAGTAGATCTCTTACACGCTTCATGTTCAACAGTGTGAGGCTGTTGGAAGAGTTGCTGATATTATCCAAATTCCAGCTTTCCTCTGTCGGCAGGTGAGTGCTGCTAGAAAGTTCAGATATTGATCCTTTGTATTAAAGTGTGTGTTTTTGTAATTATTGATTAGGATCCTTGCCTGCTTAATTATTGATGCTTTTTTGTGTCAGACTGACCTTCTAGTTGCTGCTGCAAAGACAGGAAGGATTATCAATATCAAGAAAGGCCAGTTTTGTTCTCCTTCTGTAAGTATCTCAATGTATTTTTTTAGTCTTTTTGATGCTTGGTTTGCTCAAAGTCCTATGACCACATCAGATAATTTTAGACTAATTTCTCTGCGATGTGAGGGAGTGAGTGGAAAATTATAAAGGTTAAGAACGTAAACCAATGATGTGCATTGGGTGAGAAGATAACTGTGGAATCATATGCAAGGTTTCTTTCATCATTTATTGATGTGGTATGGAGAGGCTAAGAATGACGTGTAAATGCACGCCTACTGTATGAACAACATAATATTCTTCTCTGTTCGAAGTTCCTGTATTTACTATGGCAATCATCGATACCTATTTGAAACGAATGGACATATAAGGAGTGAGTCACTACTTTTAGTTATAGTGCTCTAAGCCATGTAACAGCATGTACAATGCATCATTAACGTCCATAATGCACGGATGATAAATGTTTGTTGCTGTAGAGGATCCTAGAACTCGCAACAGTGTAAGCCTAAAAAAAATATTTCCTTGTTATATTGATGTATGCATTGATAACAAGGATTTTTCAGGTCATGGCGAATTCTGCAGAGAAAGTTAGGCTTGCAGGTAACGAGAATGTGATGGTCTGTGAGCGAGGGACCATGTTTGGCTACAGTAAGTTTGTTTTATTCTTAGTTTATAAACACAGAATTTGGAAAAGTTATTTTCCTTTTAAGTTTCACAGACTCATAAGCTTTTATTTGTTCATTTATTTATTTCGCAAAATTGAAGATCCATTTAAAAATATTAAACTATTTTTGCATAGTATTTTGTTTTTTCTGGTATCAAGGATCATAAATTCTTGTGTTCATGATGTATAGCCAGTTCATGATATATAGCAACGTATTGGTAAATTTTCTTTAGCATCTGGTTGGCATGCAAAAAATCACTAAAGAGTCATGGTTATTGTTGCGTTATTTGATTTATCCTCTTGTTTTCTGACTAAACAATGCTTCATAATTACTTATATTTAATATTAACCTTTCTGTCAAAAACAAAAGCCCTATGCAGAGATGTGGTTGTATCGGAATACCAGGCCCACAAGACAGTTAGGAACTGGACCAACAATGAACCGGGCGTAACCAATTAGGAACTAATCTTGCAATGACTCCTGAACCCTAAACTCTACTTATGCATTATTTCCCACACTCCACTCAAGCTGGTGAATAGAATTCCCCATTCCTAGCTGTGATACAAAACTCAGAGATGCTGGACTACTTAAATGATTAGTAAGTACATCCACAAGTTGACCATGAGGTGTAGACACATAAGGTGCACAAATCAATCTGCTCTCTAGTCTTTGCTTGACATAGTGTCTGTCAATTTTTGTGTGTTTTCTTCAATCGTGTTGTATTGGATTCTGAGCTATGCTGACGGCAGACTTGTTGTCACAAAGTCTCATTGGGTTATCCCACTTAATTTTCAAGTCTTTTAAGATTAACTTCAACAAGTCTTCTAAGGCTCCTAAACCCTAAACCCTATTTATACGTCCTTTCCTACAGTTTCAATTTATACGGGGAGATGGAATAACGTCTTCTAATGATGATGGAAATTTATGAGTTCTCAGTTCCATGTGAGAATGCCAACCATTTTTGCATCAGGATGATGGAATAACATCGTCTGCGATGATGCATTAGGATCGTGAGATGGCCTACTCCACCATTTCAAATATACAATCCATGATATGGACGTTTATACATCTTTGCCTTTACTCATTTTCCTTATCCTGACCTACTTCAGCTCTATGATTTTATTCTACACAAATGTCATTGTACTATTTGATTTCTTATGTCTCTGGGGAGCGCCATGAATCCAGTATGATTGAACGAATCTATTTTACCTTTTCAACTTCCCAGGGCCCATTTTGTTTCTTTCTCCAGACAGGAATGATAGACCAAGACAACATTACTTATGCAGGAGTTTTGTTAATTTGTGTGGTGGAAATGGAGGAATACAAATCTTCGATAAATAGTATGATGCAAATAATTCCTATGGGGAAGTACCTGGTCCTTGTGCTGATGTTGTCAGCAGGGGGCTTAATCCAAGGTTAAGTGAAACGAGGAATGGAGTATATGTCACTTCGTGGAAAATGATGACAAGACGATATTTTTTGCACAAAATGGAACATTCTAACAAAATTTCTAGTGCCTTGACCTGGTTACGGTTCTTACAGTTTCAGGGTTTTATGCTGTGGAGAAATTGGGGGATACATGGGATATATGTATATCGTTTTCGGAGTTTTTGGATTTTGATTATTTAAGTATAGATGGGATAAATAATTACAAAATTCAATTGAGATAGGACGAAGTTTTGCTGATTGTAGAACTGGAAGGCTATTGTGGGGAAAGAGACATTGGAAGAATGTATGGAACGAGGCTCAGAATTCTTCCTCTTGCTGATCAAAATTCTGTTTCTTCCGTTGTGGAACATGTAATCCATCAGTTCAACATTTTTTTTCCAGCTTCCTTTGTAAACTGTTTCTTGGGAGTATGGATGATAACCCTCATCCATGGTCTGTTCTTTTTGTATTACTTTAGGTCATCTAAAGTTACTTATCAAATGGTAAACGTTAATCCTCTTTTAGAGTTTCAACGAAATCTGCCTGATGTGGGAGCAGTGGGCGTAATTTCAACAGAGGTGGCACCATCTGTGGTCGTCACTGAAAATCCATAGCAGCGGGGAACTTTGTTCGTGTCACTAATTATTTGATTTTAATTGATGTCGGTTATGTGGTAGTGGACATTTGATGACACGTCACTACTTTCGTTTCTTTGAAGTAATCAGTTGTGCTTTTAAAATTATTGCAGTACGATTTGAGTTACTACCACCACTGTAAATATAAATGTAGCTTACGATCGAGAAGCCCTAGAAGAGCCATAATGATGGATGGATGGCATATAAAATGCGTTTTGGGAAGTCAAGACAGTGGTGACATGAGATAGTTCACCATTTTTTTGTGTTGCAGACCATTTTGCATGAAACTTTCCTATTTTTTTACGATGAAGATGTCTTTTGCTCACATTATTTTTAATGTCTCAATCATTGGCCCAATAATTTTTTTATTTCTTATCATCTTTCCTAATATCCCATCGATTTGGATCACACTTGAAGACGTCCCCTCCTCTCCTCCCCTTAGGAAGAAAAAAAACATAACTAATGTTGGTTGTTGTTTTAATTTGATTGTCCATGTCTGGCTACTTCCTTGACCATACCTAGATGCTGGCTTTAAACCTCTGTTTGTTGCAGCTAAAATCGGTGACCTTGACTCTCCTTTTAATTCATGAACATACTTTATTTCTAATTTTATTCTACAATAAGAAACCTGACGATGTTTTACCTTGCCTGGTGTAATTGAGAAAACTCGTGGGACGTGGTGAAGTCCACTAGTGCTTTGTATTAGTAAAGCTCGATCCCCTAGTTCTTCTTCTTCATCATTTCGTGCTTATTAGATCATGACCCCAATGTGCAGTCTGTAATCGAGAACAGCTGTGGCTGGCCTGAGCACATGCCCATTCCAATCTTGTCCAACTTTGCTAACTCCAAAAACATTGTGACAACCCATAGATGAAGGCATCATGACTGACTTTTAACCCAAATTCAAAAACCAAGTCAGCACTTTTTTTAAAAGAATCCCATGGAACCCTAATTCGAAACATATGCATTTGGCACTGACATTCGCCAGATCTTCATCTGAGGACATATTCAACCTGGGTTAAAGCCAGCTTGTATGAAACTGCTTTGTTAAATAAGAATGTTTTAGACCAAAATATCGTTTATCCCTATATAATTGGGATCTTGTACCCAGCTCCAAATCCACGGTTTACGTTTCATTCAAGGTCCAACTGTTCGTTCTATCAAATCTTCTGCATAGAGCTCAGAGGACGTGCCATTCTTTTCCCACGTTCCTGCTTCTTTAATCTGTAACCACTGAGAGAAAAAACGGAAAGATACTAATGACATCTATCCATATTTTTAGAAAAAGCTAAATAAACTTGAATATGATACTATCCAGGAAACAGAAAAATCGTCTGGCATTGAATGATTTGTCACTGAGTTCTGAAGTAAATTTCCGTTGACCTTATAGATGATTTGATTGTTGATCCGAGGAACTTGGAGTGGCTAAGGGAAGCAAACTGCCCGGTGGTATGTCCAAGGTTTCTTTTTATGTGCTATCGTCTCTAATAGATTTATTTCTTCGTCAATTATGTGATAGGAGTTGATCACATACAGGTAGCAGATATTACGCATTCGCTACAGCAACCTGCTGGGAAAAAGGTACACAGATGCAGTTTCAGATTCTTGCGATCAGAACATCCAGGCAATAATTCACTGCATAGACGATACTTCTATTATCCAAAGATATAGTTATCATCCATTCTCCACATAACTCACGAAAAATATAATGTTATTTGGATGTAACCTTAGTGGACAAGCATTCAGTTTCCTTCTCATGATGATCATCTGCTACATGCTGCAGGGAACACGCCACCATCTATTAAATAGCACATAGACACAGATCTGTCTTATCACCTTTCAGTTATCCCAAATACTTCATGTTGATCACCTTTCACTTATCCCAAATAACTCATGTTTGATGCATGCTTACGAGCATTCAACTTCCTTGTCATGGTGATCATCTGATACATGCTGCAGGGAACACGCACCATCTACTAAATGGCACATAGACACAGATCTGTCTGATCACCTTTCACTTGTCCCAAATACTTCATTTTGAGGATCAAGTTGTGGGCATCACTTTGATTCAATGAGCATCCGGCACCTATGTAACGATATCTATTGGTTTCGTCATATTTTCGTGTATAAACGTAGAATATTCATTTAAATAAGGGGGAGATTTCCCCCCAAAGAAAAGGGAAGACTGCAGAAACGTAGCACTAAAACTTGTGTGGTTTGACCCACACCCGTGAGTCACCCACTAACAATTGATCTAAAGAATTTTATTATCTATTCCACTCTGAATTTTACCTCAAAGTAATGCATGTTTGACTTATTGACTTATTTCTTGACTTATTTCTATGCATACATTTTTGACGTTTAATATTATCCTTGGGATATAGAGCAAAATGGAAGTGCCTGTTGGATGAACCTAGATTTTTTCATGATTTACGACTGATTACTGTCTGTTTTCTTGTGAGAGTTTGCATTATTACTCTAATATTTAGGAAGCATTCATATGAAAAATAGTCACAACGTTTCTTATGAATTTTACTGGATGTGGATCGCATGATTCTCAGTCTTTAGATACTAAAAACTAAAAGATCACGTAGATGGTCGCCAATGTTTATGCCATCATCAAATAGACTTTATGGCCACATGGGCTGTTGTCTGCACATGGTAAAGTGACATGGTGAATAATTCGTAAAGAATCAAAGGGAGCCAGGCCTGTGTCATTTAAACCATATTTTTCTAGCGGCAAACACTTTGGGCTCTCATTCTCGTTTCAATGTTTGCGGTTTTCATCCCAGTGAAATAATTTACCATCCCCAAATTCTCTGCTCACTTTGCAACCATGAAACTGTATGAAAATTTTTGTTCCTTAGTTGGAAGGCGGCGGAGTGGCAAGCGGAGGTCTGCGGGAACTGATTCCCTGCATTGCAAGGACATGTGTTGCAGTCGGTGTGGATGGAATCTTCATGGAGGTAAACTCATTAAAACGATATGAAATTATTTTATGTTTCTTTAGCTACTTGTTAAGAAAAAATTGTTTTCATTGGGCACAAGGGGGAGTAACCAATCAAACTGATGTATACTTTTTCAGGTTTCTTTAAAATCTGTTTCAGAAAGGACCCTTTTTATTGGACACTTACTCAAATAGATTGAATAGGAATGTCATGCCGTAGTAACATTACAGCTTATTTTATGTGTTTTGTAGAGTCCATAAAGTGTTCAACTGTGTCATCATTTTTTTGCCTGCAGCTTTCAGATGAAAACTCTACTATCTTCTGATGCTTTAAGTTCCAACCTAGCATATTTTAAAGAACTGTTTTGACTCTTCCAGATAGCTCTCATGGGCTTTGGTGATTTCCAACTAATGCTTTTGTTGGTAATTCTTATTTTCATCATCTGGTTGACTAGGTGCATGATGACCCCTTGAGTGCACCTGTGGATGGGCCTACTCAATGGGTGAGTTCCACTGTAACTCCATCAATTTAAAACTCTTCCCTGTTGATCCTTTTGACCATACCTTTATTGATGTGTAGCCTTTGAGGCATTTGGAGGAGCTGCTTGAGGAACTCATATCTATTGCGGTAAGCTCGTTTTCTTTGCAATAATAGTTCATCGTTATCCCAAACGTTCCGTTTCTTATTCTGACCTGATCAGATGAATGACTTCCATGTACATATGTAGGGAGCCAGCAAAGGAAAAACCTCATTCAAAATTGATCTAACACCATTCCGCCCCTGAGTAAACCTCATGGTGTGTTCTGTGGCAGATGAACATAACTCCATCTTAGCGAGTATCAATCCTTATTATGTATGACACTTTCTGGCCACGTTCTTGGTTAATGCAATAAAAAGGAAAGAAGTCATTTATGATCGAAGCTTGTATACTTTGTCTGCAATCTTTCAAGTTTATTATTACTGTTTACATCATCATTGGTGAAATAATCGCTTGTTTTGTGAGGGAACCGAAGGAGGAGACTGTTACTGTAGAAACCCATTCATTACTAATCATGAAATAATCTCTTGCTTTCATTTATTGCATACAAGATTACTGTGGTAGAAGATCTCTTAATGCATGTGAAGATGAAAGTTTGCTTTCTCACCCATTTTTTTGTCCAGTTTCTGCTGAACGACTAATGTTTCTTAAGTATTCTGTTTGTATAAAGATTGGTAGATGCAGGAGTTTAATATCCATTCATTTTGTACAACAGATTAGTAAGAATCCACTGTCTGCAAACATGTTGTGTGAGACATGTAATGGTTCTCTACAGCCGTATTCCGATTGTATCAGTCTAATTGGGTGATTCTGACTCAGCATACAAAGAACATGAAAGAAAAATCATGTAAAAGCAAAAAAATCGACAAATTTAGTAAAAAATCTTATTATAAAGCTTTCTACTGTTGTCATCATTAATCTGTTTATTGTCAAGTGAATATATTCATGTTGACAACTAAACTTTCATTTTTCTTTTTTTCCTCAGTTTTGTTTAATTTTTCTCATTGACATCAGCCTAGTTAGATTAAATTATCCAATTATCTAATCTATATAATCAACTATCTTGCTCTTTTATTCTTGGATGACATCACAAAATGATGGATTTATTTGACTAATATTTCTATAATAATTATCGTCCAACTTTTCTTTACAATGTGGATTAGCATATTCCTGTGACGTGGTGTCTCCGCACAATATTTCTACTTATGACTAAAATAATATACTGTTTAATCGAATAATAATGGGCACCGTAACATGAGTTAACTCTGATTTTCACACTTCTTCAAAAAAGTACAAATATGATAAGACATGTCTGCTGTTGAATTTGCGAAACACACTTGTGAGGTGCCATCTTCTTGCAAAATTTTGATGCTTATCGATTGTTTATTTATGATAAATCTTGTATCTAACCTCAATATTTGGGAATTTGAATGCATAAATCTTGAGTGGATTTCTTTAATGAATATTGATTTTCTTGATAATGTCTTTATTTGGTGTTATCAAGACTACTCATAGCAACTTAGCGTGATATGATAAGCTGCAACGTTAAAGTTATGTTATATAACTGAATGATGGGCCCAATATGTCAATTCATATATTGCTCCTTGTGAGCATCACTTTGCTTCTTTTTCTTCACGAAAGCAATATTGTTGAAAAACTTAGAAACAGAACCTAAATTATACAATATTATTTCTGTTATCCATCCAAGCTGAACAAGCGGGGGGGGTGGGGGGGGGGGCAGGTGTTTGGGTGCCTGGACAGTGGGCACAATGATCGCCATAGTTTTTATTGATCAAGGCTTGCTGTTGAGCAGATCACTTTGCAAAAGTACTAGATATTGACGACTGTCAATAAATGACTTATGAACGGTATTCATTAATGAAGTCATTACGAATTTTTAAACTTTGGTCACATTTTGATACAAGAAACCAGAATGTTATGATGCTTTTGAGGAGTGGAAAATTTTCCTTCCTACTTAGAAGAAGGCTTAACGTGTAATACAGTCAGTTAAGAACTAAAATGTTGATGAAAGTAGATTTTCTAGCATAAAGATTTTCTATTTCACTTCATGTCTTTAGTTGTTCTCTGCTGATATCATGGTAACTTGTTTGAGATGAACTGATCTTTTAAATACATTACAAATAATAAACTGTTGAGCAAAAAACTGCTATTGGCTCTGCTTTCACACCATGATTCTTGAAACTGCAAGGTAGACTCTGGGAAATATTGGGACGACTTTCTCTCCCACTAGTTACATCCTCCTGGTCAAAATGAATTGAGCTTGAGAAAGATGAGTACCACTACTAGCTACACAATGAGTGTGCATAAGTGGTACTGCTAAAAGTTCAATGATCTGACAATTGACATTGGTTAAGTGGGATGATGAATCGAATGAGAGCTGATTGGGCTTGAAACTAGGTACCTAGATACATATAAATCTCTTCTTGTTGTTCATGGATGCAAGGAGACTAAAGCTGCCGCTTCTATTGAAGGATCTTCCATCGGAAAACATGGGTGTCCAGATGAGGAAAACTCTAGTTTTGTTCATGATGAAAGAACAATCTTGCCGCTACATTCATTTGATTCGCCAAAAAGGGTATTAATTCCTGTGTAGATACCATGACTTACACTCCTCCCTAAAAGGGTAAAAATAGCATCCCTCAAGGACGGAAAAGATTGACCTAAGGAGATGGCAGCCTGACACAAAGAACAGAAGACCCAAAGGATATCAAGTAGAGCTATCAAAGCAGCTTCGGCGTCATCTCCCATGCCATCTCAATCTGTAGATTATTGAGGACACCAAGGACATGGTTAGTAGAGAAGCAAAAACCCATAGCAGAAGAGGTAATCGTCTATAGAACTAACAGCAGTATTGGCACCTTTATTACCAGCTTCCCCCCCCCCCCCCCTCCATCTCCACTCCTACTAGCAAGAACTATCCTTTCAGATGGTGCTCAAACAGGGATGCCATCTCGATCTGTGAATTATTGAGAGTCAGGAGAACAGATAACATAGATCCATAGCTGGCACATAAATGGGTAATCTGCATGACTTACAGCTGTCAGAGCAGCTTCAGCGCCTTTGTTCCCTGATTTGCCTCCAGCACGGTTCAAAGCCTATGTAATTTCCCATAAGAAAATTAAAATCCATTACTTGCCTTTCATATTGCTCTTTCATTTCTTTTCCAAGAATAGACAATATTTGATAGAAAACTGCAGAGCAATGCACAAAATCGAGTGAAAAAAAGACAGATCCTCTTAAAAAAGAGTACTATTTATCTGATCTCTTCTGTTAAAAAAGAGGATATTATGTGTCACAAAAAGATAATCTATCCCCAGAGCAGAGGGCTTGTACATTTTTTCCCTTTCTGAGTGGCAATAGTTCTAACAACTATCCAGTGTGGATTCTTCTCTCTTGATAAATCTGCCCAATAGATGACACACAGAGAGGAAACACAACCAAATTCTCAGCCTAGGGTTCCAAAATACCATGCTTAGGGGTCAGCCGTCCAAAGCAAAATCAGCTTGGTTGATACGTCTTAAAGTATATAGCAAAGTTAGAACCACAAACTGCCGAGTCAGTAGCACTAGGTTAAATTCACCACCCTGAAAGTTGTGCAATCATTCTCCCCTCGCTACCCATGCTATAAGTTTTTAGCATTGAGAAATCAGTGTGTAGACAGCATGTTACACTGCAAAAAACTGGCCCAGAACAAGAAGTTCTTCTCATGATCTCTCCCATAAAATCTTGGAAAGATTTGTCAAAAAATGATTAGTATTGAAATTTTACCTGAATGATTTGTCGAACAAAGGCAATGAAATGGGCCACAACATATTTTTAATTAATGAATGAAAAGTTTCACCTGATCCATGTCCTCACAAGTGAGAATACCAAGTATGCATGGAACCCCTGCAGCAACGTTGAAGGAAACTCTCAACTTTGATGAACATCCAATAATATGGTTCTTTGTTTCTTAAAGTAATACTCTTAATGGAAACAGAAACAGTAGCATGCAGGGGAATCTTGTACTAAAGAGTGTTTTATTATAAAGCAGAGAGACATAAGTTTAAGATATTTTCAAAACCCAGCTGCCTAACTAGGTCTCTCATATCCTTAAAACAAAACAATATGGGCCTATGGGATTCTTGGCAAGGCAAATGAAGAACAAGGAACTGCATCATTCTCGTTTTGAAAGCCAAATTAGACAAACTCCAGCCTGAGTTTCTGCAATGAAAGAACTCCCTAAGTTTTCAATGCTCTGTTTCCCAGTTCTAAAAGAAGTGAAAATGCTGTGGGTTTAGGCAACCCCTTTATAGATATTAAATGGATATAACATATATGAGAAAATAATAATTACATATTTTAAGAACAAAGGCTTTAAACTATTAGAGACCAATTTCATAGAAACAAATCACTATATGCAGAATAATTTAACTTATTTATGATATTTAAATATATTAGATTATTTGGAATATAACCACAATCGACTGGCCACGATAAATATTCATTACCAGCTTTTCAGCTGGCGATATGCTCCGACTACTATTATGATGAGTCTTATAATAAATAAGTTACAGGAACCTCTAACATTACATTCTGTTTTCAAACAATGATAAAAGCAAGTACGCATTCCAATTTTGTGTCAATGAGAAAGAGAGCAATATAACAAGTAGAAACTAGGTTTAGAACGGATTATTATAAAATTTTATAACTGGAAAAAAAAATGAAGATAAGCAACCTGAATTAAGGCTAGCTGATAGTACTCCAGATGCTGATGAATTAGCTACAGCATCATAATGGGTAGTTTCACCTCTCACCTAAAAAACAAGAAATCCAGGAGAAAATATTACAAGTAGCAGCTGTCTGAAGAACCCAGTGAAGAAGGCATTGTAACTTTTAGTTCACAGAGGCTATTAGCATCTCCACCCCATACCTCAGTAAATTATGCCTTAGTTCATGATAAAATGTACGATATTGCACAAAAGTAATGGATTTATTTGCATTCATCTGGTCTTGTGTGCAATTTATAACTTGAGAATAAACTTGCGTAGACAATGATCTCACATCAGAGATGAAATAAAATGAATTCGAACAAGTTAGAATGTAATGGATGTGAACTAGTCAGTGAATTGGAACCATCTAGGGAACAACAAAAGCAGATTACTTCTATCTCCTAGTTGAGTTCCTTTTGATGGAATGTGGATATAATCGTCTTCTATAAGCAAAAGAAAGTCGATCTCTGCATTCTGAAACTAAAGCACTCTTAAATTTTCTCGCTCTACTAATAGTATGTGTGAATACACTGAATTGCCTTTTGCTACAATCATAGTCAACTCTTCATGTAAGTTTCTTCTTAGGGTGGATGGTACTGCCATCCACAAATTTATCACAACAGGGATGCACACACATTATGTTTAATGTATGTTGACAACGGTTCCCTGTTGCCTAATGGACAAAATCCACTCCAAAACGTGAAGAGGTAAGCTCCCTACCTTCATCTTGATGCTAACAGGAGTGCACATACACCCACAGTAAACTCTATGCCCACTCAGGCACAGGGAAGGACAGCTATCATTTTGATAACAGTGTTGGGGTGCCTAAAACCCCGAACTAGGGTTTTAGTACTTCTATCTCTCCCCTCCTTTTCCTCTTGTTACCCACGACGACCTCCATCTACCAGGAGGGAAAGTCACTTCATTTCCTTTTATCTTCTCATCCAGAAAACGGTGCTGTTATATAAACATTTAGATTTTAGGTGGTGAGCTGTTTCGTTATTTCCTTCTGACAAGCCAGTTTGGTCAACATGGATAGAAAATGGACTTGACCCCTTTTCTTTCAAGGATTGGATGATTATTATATTAATGACATCCAACTTGGATGTCAGCATTCAGAGGTGTCAGTAGGCAGTCAGCAGCAATAAGTTAGAAGCAGTCATGGTGAATGATACCAGCTCCCAGGAGACTCGCCTAATTTTTTTCCCCCGCCTTTGTTGACAAATTATCAGTACTGTTCTTTCATACTCTTCATCTGTTAGGAGCAACACCATCTGTTAACAGAGACCCTGAATGAGATTGAGTCACGTATGGTAGAAAATTGATTGATATGGGTTTGAATGTCAGATTTCAGGCAAGAAGTGGCCATAACTTAGCCATTCTGGCCTGACTCAAAATGCTTCTTAAGAAATCATAACCCATAAACTGGCAAATTGGGTTTCCATGTAGTGGAGGGACAAAAACAATAAAGGCCTCCCCAAATAGAAATCCAGATGTTGTTGCCAACAAGACAACAACGTGAGGGCCAAGGATTTTCATGATAACATGTGATGAATGTTACACTCCTAGAAGTGTGCAAGGAGTTCCAAGTCTTGTTGGTCCATGAAGATGACAAGTACCCCAAGACAAATTCAAAATATGAGGTATGGGAAGCTGAAGAGACTAAAGGGATCAAGTCAGAACCAAAAGTACCAACAAACGTGGGATTATTCCTCAATTTAGTGGTGATCTAACTAAGCCAGGCACCATGAAATTAAGGCCCAGATTGGGATCCAAACAGCTGATGGTACTAACTGATTGTGGGACGACCCACAATTTTATATCATCAAAGCCAGTAGACAAATGCAAACTTCAACTGACGACCACAACCCACTACAGAGTCATGATGGGCAACAGAGTGTCAATTAAGGGGAGAGGTATATGCAGGAACGTATTACTAGAAATCCATGGCCTAATTGTTTTTGAAGACTTCTTGCCACTACAGGTCGGAATCACCAATGCCATATTAGGTATACAATGGCTGCACACCGTAGGAAAGATGGAAGTAAATTGGACTCAACTAACCACGAAGTTTGTGTTGGATAGAAAATTGGACCCCAGCCCAAGCAAATCAGGAGTCTTACTAAATATGTTGACAGGTGGCCTACAACAAGGGCAAGGAGTAATGATTGAACTACTCTACTTGAGCCTAGAAGAGGAAGGAGAGGTCATAGAACAACCATCTTCGCAGGTGCAACGCCCTAATCCTCTTACTCAAGAAAAAAAGAAGAGGAAGCAGAGGCAGTTTTTGATGACTGAATGTGTGGGAGTCTCTGGTAATCCTCCCAAAAGATTATTGCTGCTGTAAGTGTGGGTTCTCTGAGAACCCAGACCTTTCCACCCTTTTTACCTTGTTCTTTTTCTTGTTCCCTTGTGTTCCTTCATTTTCCTCTTGATTCTGGCCATTGCTAGAGGTTCCCTATTAGTAGTCCACTAAGCCAATCTTTTGTTCCCATTCCAAATGCCAAAGTCCAGTCAAAGAGAGCAGGAACATGGAAACGTAACTTCTCTTTTACCATGATATTGTAATCTTTGTGTAGACCATATGTGGCTGTTATATTAGCATTATGATACCTGCAGGACTCAAAAAGAATTAATAGCTTGATCGTGTCAAAAATAATCTCAACCCATCGAAATCTTTGTTAAAAGATGTCAGATCCTTTCTGTACTGTTTCTTCCCGTTGACAAGTCACCAATAAATTCAAGAAAAAATATTAGCAATAATACAATATCTTCAAAGAAGCTTTGATTGTCTAAGCAATGCCGCATTATTATAGTGGAAACTGCACCAACTACTTGCTAATGGAAATAGAGAATTTACCACGGCTCCAATGCAAAGAATGGCATTGTATCTTCCTGAATTGCCAAGTTGTTGAGCAACCAGAGGAATTTCAAAGCTACCAGGCACCCAGACAACCTATAGAGCAACAACTTCAAAACCAGCATAGACTATAAAAATTTAGAGAGGTAACTAAAATGTACTATTTGTTGCAACAGGATCTCGATTGTGTCATCATATAGCCGACATCTTAGAGAAAGGTATATAAAATGAGAGATAATTCTGGCCATTCTGTGTACATAAATGATGAATACAAGTATCATCATAAGGGAAAAGTAGCAAATCAGCAAAGAAAGATATCATCCCTGTACATGAGGGAAAGAAATAAAAAGAGGAAGTTATACCAGGGAACAAGGAAAAAAATGAAGTACTTTCTTCCGCAAATCATATCGAATAGGACACAATTCAAGTTCAGGGCTCAAAATCCAACAAAACATATGAAAACAAAGGCCAAACAAAATCCAACGGCCATAAAAAATATTACTCATCCCTAAAAACCGCTTTAAAAAACAAATTTGAAATGCCACAAAATCAGGTCATTGGTATCTTTGTAGTGGAGCGTAGAAAGTTTCATGAACCTTTATATGACATCAATTAAATGAATAAATGGGTTCCTTCATATCAACCTTCTTACGTGCACAGTTGCATAAATATGCTTACTTCTTGATATAAACCGTCTAACAACACAGTTGTACAAATAAGGTTACTATAAATCCCTGTGTGAATCCTTATCTACATGTGTAGTTACACTACTAGAGCTTACTCAAGTCGGAACCACTCAATAGCTTTGTTACAACCAGGGCGGTTACATGTTTAATCACAAAATATGTTTAAAAAGCTTCCTACCTCGAACTCTAACAATTATGCTCTTATCCACAACCCTTATAATAGTAGAAAACCCCATAAAACTGTCCTTCATACATCTGTCTCCTTTGGTAAGGAAATTACAAGTATACATGACTTGTATACTTAAGCCTTATGCATGACTTGTATACAAGTATACATGACCTATTCATGCAAAAGTGAAAAGATATGAAAGCGCATTGAATAAAAGGAATGTAATCTTAAGCCTTAGATTGAACATATGAACCCTCTGGAAAGCAAATACCAAACCGATTAGTATTTTTAACCAAACACCAAACCAATGAATTTAATAATTTAAGAAGCAGAGAAAAGAAATTCTACAAAGAATAAGATTGTGGAATCTGTTATTGTTCTCAAGCAAAACCCACGCCAAGAACCTTTTATCATTCTCTAGGATCCCAACGTCATCTATATGAATCAAGAAAAAGAGAACCCATCTGAAACCCAAAATTAAAAGTATGATAAGTCACCGAAGGGTGAGGAAAATGGCAAGTCAGTATCATCTCATAAGAATCAGTTGCATACAACGAAATTTTGGACACTACAACAAACTCAATTCTACTGGACAAATACAGCTTAAAACACACAAGCACATTAATAATAAGAGCAATCTACATACATCGACATCCTCTTCCTTGACTGAATAACGGGTGAAAGTTTCCAAAGCTCCTTCCAGCAGCAACCTCGTCACAATCTCATTAAATCGAGCCACAACCTAAATGAAGGGAACGTTACAAACTGAAAACGTTTTCTACAGCGAGAATAAAATATATGCTAAAAAATATGATATTTTCACCCAGTAAATGAACAAACATATCAACTATAATGCCCAACTTAGAAACGGTTTTCTGACATTATTTTTTCCTTTTCACTCCTAGGTGTTTCACTTTCAGGAAATGAATATTCATAAGTTGATTCCCTTTGTTATATGTTCGAATGGCTCTTCGATTTTACAATCCCCATAAAAGGGTTATTCATCTTTAACACTGGATCTCTCAATAGCATACAAGTTTAGATCTGCAGAATTTAATTAGTCTTGTGACTCATAAAAGCTTAGACTAGTAAATTCGTGTTTACAGGCTCTATAAAAAATAATTAGTTCTCTTTGAAACGGTTATTCATCCCACTTGACTGATCTTAAAATGTGCTAAGTATTATAACTATGAAAAAAATGATCCAACTAGTAGTCGTTCATAAAGTTCAGATCCTACAATTATAGTTGAATGACAGGATTGACAGAAAAGTAGCAACATCTATGGTTTATTCTCCATTCAACAATGTATTGAGTAAATCCCTTGCCTAGTTGATAGGATGCTCCAAGATATTCGTAAGTACTACTTTTCAAAAACGATGACATGTCATCACACTGAAACCTTCCTAATATCTCATCCATCTTTCATGCTTTTATTCTTGTGTATCATATTTTCAAATCTCCATAGAAAGCCCAGCCCATGAAGAATTCAGGATACAGGTACCACTCTGATGCGGATATCAACTTATCAAACATTTGAATGGAGGGATGATTCCCAAGGAACTTTCCAAGTTGGGCAAAATCTATAAACCAGGAAATTTAAGAATTGAAAAAAAGATTCCTTCACGTATAGAAGGTAGCTATTTTGAATATTACATTACTTCAAAGTTATATTGCCAAATTGCTTAATCCACAATTGGCTATGGTCCTTCTGGGCACTACCAAAACTATGTATTAATTAGAGAACGAAAAAAAAGCAGAGGGATGTAACATATATATTTTTATGTGGGTTACACATGCTAGAATGGAACAATGTCTAAGACTGATAGAGAACAGGGCTATTCAATTTCAAGAAGATAAGTAGACCTCAGATCATAGGCTTATTAGTGTCTAACATGCTGATAATCTCATTATCAGTAGAGTTCCCAAAACACGTATGATGCTTTTAAGACCAAGTGATATTGATAACACATTCGAAAGCAAAAATAGGCAGCTGATTGAAGCATCGACAGATTTTTTAACATTCAAATATTATTAGGGCCTTGCACTCTTTGCATGCGATAAGAATTGAAGCATAAGTTCCACGTGCCTTTTTCTGTTCTGTACCACAGAAGAAAGAATTCAATGAGATGTTTAGGATGACGTTGTATTTCCCCTCAAAACACAACCTTTCATGTGTTTTTAAAGGCAAAAGCCTACTGCATGGCCACTCTCAGTCTCTTCTATCTCTATCAAAAAATATCAGTTTTTTACTGCCCTTTTTCTGGAAAAAACTGCAGGCATCTGCCTGGGATGATGGATTCTCAGTTAATTACTATTTTCCTCTTTGTGACTATTTTGTATACATTAAAACCTACCCAAGTACGAGGCAGAGTATGAAGACACTTGTGTAGTGTAATGGGAAAAAACAAGGAATCAAAAAGGTTTTGAATGCCTCCAATTTAGTGACTGTTTCATTGGTGGTGTCCAGAACGGGAATGAAGAACCTTTGTATCACAATCCAAGGTTATGGAGAAGAATGATGATGTCAAGCCTTTGTAGTGAAAATGAATCATGCGGTGTACTGAAAGTTAATCAGATGGTAAAAAACTATTAAACTTACAGGCAAGCTCCACTGTACGTGAAATGTCAAAAAAATGCTCTTGAACTTTTCTTCCCATACATCAGAATCAGGAAACCAGGACCCCGGAAATGAACCGCAATGTCCCTTATGAAAGAAAAGATATTCAGGGGTTGAGGAGGATTTTAGATAGCCCGGAAACCCACCACAGCAAAGCGCAGGCCTTCCGTCTTCGTCACTGAACCAATCAGGTGCCGACTCGCTGCAGGAACCATAAACCTTCTCCTCCCATTCCTCGTGCACGCAATCCCACCAGAGACAGCTAGCATTGCCGAATTCAGGGCACCGAAACCAGCTCAGAAACGAATGCCGAACCAGAGACTGCGCTAAACCACAGAAACAAGGAATCTTGGGTTCAAGGGCCAAACGCACCGCGGATGGAAGTAGAGAAGGTGGCCTTGGGCCTCAGAACCGGCAGACGTCGGCCGGCTGTGCTTCCGAGAAACGTCTGGGAGGCGACGAACGTCGTCGAAAGCGAAGCCATCAGACCCCTCCTTCCCCTCTTCCCCTCCTCTCGGTAACTCGGCCGACTGATCTCCCGGATATGTTAAGGCGGAGACAGCATTCGACGATTACGCTAAAAATGCTTTCTTCTCCGGCTAGTCGGCTGCCGAGCAGCGAGTGACGATATCTCGCCATCGGACCGCTGCGACCGGGAGCATCGGTTCCCCGGTTCTGCGGTAACTCGACGGTGAAGTTAAACAGCACATTGAGAGTTCCCCCACACGCTTGGAATCACTATTTCTGCAAGCTCAATTCACCAATGAGACGATCATGGGCTACAGAATTGTGTACAGCGCTCTGAAATAGTCTAATGAAAAGGCTTTTTACACATCTACATTAATAATGTCAAAAATAATAATAATTAAGGTTGTATATGGATAACTAGTGGTCAACCTTAATGCAGATGCCAAGCCACAAATAACGCTAGGTCAACTTAACAATTGAATGCCTAATGGGTGCTATTATCTTGCTCTATTACTCCAAAAACTTTTATGATGCATCAACAAGAGATGATATGATAAATTAGCAATCATGAGCAATCGATTGTCTAGCTTCTACCAGCCTTGTGGTTATGGACATCAATGTTAAAGATTTTGTTAATCTTAGATCTTAGTAGAGTTCCAAAGCTAAGTCTTGTTCTTGTGGTTGTCAATCATCTTGGTATATAGTCGCATGTTTATGTACATCAAATAAGATTTAGATAGTCTCTCAAGCAATTAATGCATAGTACATCAAATAAGATTGAGATCACATCCCTCTAGGGTCAATCATTCAATGATAAGGAGGTTGTAGTCAAGCCCTACATCTTGTTGCAGACATTTTGAGCCACATTCTTGCAAACAAACATGCAACAATGATCCCATCATGTTGTGGTTTATCTTCGCATAGCTTCATGTTGGATGAATAAATAATTTTAGCAACACAAATCTCTAGAAAAGTGACTACTTTTATAAAATAACTGTGTAAATTTTGTAGGGTCTATAATATGTTGTGAATACAAACCTTGTCATTTATTAATTTTAGATCCCATACTATATATAATATTTGGTTTGGTTCATACTTTTAGGTATGAAATACAATGAATTCCAAATGTTTGGGCATGGAACTCATAAGTCAATTACCTATTGTGGTATAACTATTTTGTTAGCACTTTTAACCTCAACATAGGTACTTTTATTTAACCTAATCCTTTCAAATTGATATCTTCCATTATAATTGTAGGCTTTACATTGGCTTTATTTTTCCTTTAAATTAATACTTCTCTTTGAAATCTTGAATCATGGAAGTGCCAACTTTTCTCTCTTCACCCTCCATTCAACAATATTATAGGCCCCAATTAATATAAACTGCAGCCAAAATTCGGTTAAAAGACTAATTTCAATGTCTTTTCAGTACTAAGGTAGTGCAACAAAGTTTCTTCCAATAGAATTTTAACCCCAACTTAACCACGTTGGTTAATATTTTGATTGAGCTTCTAGAAGCTTCATGAGATGTCTTGGTGCCTTAGCTGTTGGTAAGTCAGTTTGATCAATTTATTTTGAGTCCTCTTTAGTATTTTGTCATCATTACTTCCACTGTCTTCAATTTCTCTCTTATCTTCTAGTCCTCATTGACGTTCGTTAGTACTTTATGTAGGGGATCTTACATGACTCTAGTTAATGATTTGGTACTTTCAAGGCCTAAATAACATAGTTATAATAATTTTTAAGATTTTAAAGCTTGGATTGACATGTTAGATTGAGAGAAGAACATGTGAAGAACATGATAGAAATTTCTATAAAAAATGGTTTTAAGTATACATTGCTGATTTTTGCCCATAAAATGATTCTTGTTGATTTTTTAACTCAAATTTATGATAGTAAAAACTTCTTATGGAACATTGATATAGATTTTTCATGAGTTACATCAAAATATTTTGGCTTTATCATTCCCCCCAACTTGAATTATTGATAATCCCATAGCAATACTTGCAGATATTTAAATTCAGACTAACATGATTCAAAACATCAAAGTTTTATGCCTAAATAGATTTTGAGTGATATTTTAGCTTAGAGTTGCTTTGAAGTTCTCATGGCAAGCATCAAGAATAAATTTTTAACTTAACTGCATCAATTGTTGAATTACCTAAACTTTTTTATCTACAAAATGATTAGCTGTCCCACCTAAATCAGGTCACCTATAGTGAGCAGGTGACTAAGATGTGAGTTGAAAAGGAGACATTTGCTGATTTTGAGAACTTTGATTTGGAGATCCTCCTAAAGCTTAGGGTGGAAATGATCCGAAGTGGGGTTTCTTAAAAAAAATTAAGATGATTTCACCAACCAGGATTATAAGTATTTGAAAAAAGATTATAATTTTGCCTAGAGAATTATTGTGTTGCTTACACTTGCTCTTGAGCTAAAGGTTGCTTCAAGAAAGCACAATCATCTTCTATATGGCCATAGTTTGTGCAAATTGAACAGACTATCCTATCTCATGAGAGGACTCTTGATTTAACCTTTTTTTTAAAAAATGGTGCTAACAAAACTTATCTACTATGTTTCTATATTAGATGACTTATCTAGCTTCCTATGAAACTTGCTTATTTCAGCTCTTAATTCCTGATCTTCAACTTTCTTTACCTCATACATTGAAATTTTTCTATCATAAGAGGATGAATCATGATTCAATGAATTTTCACTTAAACTTTCTAGGATTTGAAGCTTCATCATCACTCTTATTCATAAATGTCCCCCTACATAATGCATCAACCATTTATCGATGCTGTTCTATCAAAGTATCATAAAATATTTGAATCAATTGCCATTTAGGTATTCCAAGATGAGGACATTTTGCTAATAATCTTTTTAACCTATCCCAAAATTTGTGAAAGGTCTCTCATTGTTTGGGAAAATCATATAGTTTACTTCCTCATGGCATTAGTTTTTCCTCTAGGATAATATTTTCTAAGATATTCATTTTACATATGAGCCTATGTCCTAGTTCATGTTCCATAGTGGAAAACCAATAGCTTCCTCATACTTAAGAGAAAATAGGAATAGGGTGAGTTTTAAAGCATCATCAACATCTTTTACCATTGAACAAACCTTAATGAATTCTTATAAAATGTCTATACAGTTCTTCATTTGGACAACTATAAAAAGAAGGTAGTAGTTGAAAATCAATTGACTTTATATCTTGTCTACAAATTGGATTTTGAAAAAAGTCAACTCTTAAAAATGGGGTGCAATAATCTTCTAAAGATTTAGGATGATTAACCAGTTCATGAGGTTCTATTTTAGAAGGGCTTTGAATAGTCCTAGAGTGTGGTTGCTTTCTTTTAGAAGTCAACTTAGCTAATAAAGGTTTTCTGGGACCTCCTATCACGTATTAAATCAGATGAAAATAAACTATTCCAACTAAGCAAAGGAAAAGTTAAATTGTAGCAAATAAAATACAGGAGTTAGAAGTTATACTGACTTCTCTAATGCTCACTTCCTCCTCCTCGTAGCTGCTTCTTAACTTGAAAGGAATGTTTTCAATATTTATAATTTTTATTTCTATTATTATTACTTTTTTACAATCCAAAGTCCAAATCGAGTTTGTATCAAGTGTATAGTGGTCTTGACACTATTTGTGTAAGTCATCCCCAACAACAATGCCATTAATTTGATGTGCATTAATCGTTGTAAGATAAGGTGTCAAATTAAGATATTTCTGTGCTGAATTAATTAATAATTAATATTAATATTAGTGGTTTTTAGATTGATTAAAAAAGATGGAGGCAATTAGATCATCAAGGGACTCTTGAATAATTCTCTATTCATAGGTTGAGTGGCACATATTTAATGATCCAAATTGTAGGAAATGTTGTTTGATTCAAGATCTTTGGTGTTCAAACTAGAGTATGATGTCTTACATTCCATAAGAACCAAGAATCAGATTACTAATCATTTGCAAATAAGAGATTTGGTCAAAACAAAGTACAAAGGTTAGGCAACATAGTCATTTTATCAATGAGAGAATACCCTTAGTAATTTAATTGAAAATTTTAAAAAATAGAAAAAATATTAAAAAATGTCTCTAAATATTTATCAATGAGATAGCTATCAAAATAAATAAATGTGAAGAAAATGACTATGAAATGAGAGAGTGGTTCACAAAAAACTCTTGAGGTGTCACTAAGAAGTCAAACACTAACTATAGGAGATAAAACATATATCAAATCAAAAGAAAAATATATATTATATGCTTTAAATGTTTGTATCTCATCGTATGACTGTCACTCACATGAGGGCATCCATCATGTAGCAAAAAAAAGAAAGAAAAGCCATCAAACTTGCTATGAGGTAAAATGAACATACTATAATTCTCTCTTCTCCTATATGACACTTAGAAAATCTTGAGAGAGTAAAAAGAAGTTGATTGAATAAAAGATACATATCAAAAAGGCAGAGAATGATACTTCTTTCAATCCTTGGATGTCATCTAAAAACTTTAAGAATCTAGAGCAAATTTTCTAACTAAAACATGTAGTAAGTTCAAAGAGAAATGAAGACTACACATAATAAAAGACTGCACATAACATGTAGCAACTACAAATTTTTCCATATAAATAAATAGGATTCTGGGTTTGAATAAAATAAAAAAGAAAATGGAAGGATGATAGATAGAAAGGAAAAATAAAATTTTAATAATTAAAATATATATTTATATATTTTTTGTATTTTCATTTTTCTTTTTGTTTATTTTGAGAAAGATATTGATCAATTCCAATTCTTTCTTTTTGCATTGATTCTTTTCCGATCGAGATGTATGGATCCATGGAACTCGTTGTCTTGGTTTTCTTTAGAATTAGGATAAAAAAAATAGATTGACTCTTACTATGAACTAGTAACTATAGAAACTATATAGTAAAGAGTAAGGGTGATTAATCTCTCTCTCCTCTCCCTTGTTCATAACATATTTGGGGATACATATAGATCCTAATGAGTACAAAAATTGAAGCCAAAATTTGGTAAAAAGATTGATTTGGTGGCTTTCGGTGGTAAAAATATGCTTCTGAGTTCATCTACATGCTTACAGCCTGCCAACTGCACATATGTCAGCAAGAAATGACATGTATTGTGCCTTCTTTGTTAGAGATTCTTGTGCATACACTTGCCTTTGCAATGAGTGTTGCATGCTCACTTAGTTATGTTGGCCTAAGACTCTGTAAGAGCCAATCACCCTTCTTTCAAAGTGTGAAAGGAAGGTTTTCTTTCCCTTTCTCAAGCCATTTCAAAGCTGTCAAATTAATAACATCTATATGCATTCATTGGAGCTCTCCAAATTTGGCTATGAAATAAGACTTAGTCATTGATGCCTATTTTGATGTGGACCAGTTTAAGCTTGTTGGTTTTATTGGTCTCCATACATTATTGTAACTTGCCTAGCGATTGAAGAGGGTTGAGAGTGAGTAGATTGTCTCCTATTGGTGCTTCTTGTGCCACCATTACATTTACAATGCCTCCGGCTGATCATCTCAATCAGACCTTTTGTAGAGGAGGGCCTTCCCACATTTACTCATAGGTTGTTGACTCTATTGTGTTGCTGCAGCTATCTTGGGTCCCACTTGACCCTTGTCGAAGCCTTGTCCACATAATGATGCTTCCATTTGAAAGTTGTTGCAGCTGCTGTCATCTTGGGGTACTCATTTTTGATTTTCCAAGCATCTAACACCACCTTTAGATGTCAATGTGCTAGTACTCTTGGTAACTTTGTGATAGTCATAATCGACTACACATCCCTCACCCCTTGGTGACTTTGTTCTGCTCATTCCTATGAGTGTAACCCTACCATGAAATTTAAAAACTTGTATTAGTGAGATATATTCTTTATGTCTAGGAGGGGTGAATCAAACTAGTTCACATTCTCCTGCAGTGATTTTAAATTTTGTAATTTAAAAGACATCCCACGCCATCAAGACATTGTTGGGTAGATAGAAAATTTTCATTTACATCCCAGATGAACACATTAATTCTAACTCCTAGTTTTTATGTAGCCACTTCAAAACCAACAAATGAGTAATTTCAACACGAGTCGAAGGATTTTATTTTGTCAATGAGCAAATAACGTCACCTTTATCATGTGATATTCATAAATTCCAAAATCCTAATTACTGAAATTCAAGTTTAGGTCGACACTAGTGTTGAGTTGCTAAATAGTATATGTAATCAAGGTGTTAGTTTGACTAGCTTTTGATTAGGTCACTAGACATGTCATGATACTCTGCTCTTACCACAACCTTCTACTTGTGTGAGATGTTATGATATGAATTAAAAAAAATTGTTAGATTTTCTTAAGAAACTTTATTTTTTATCTACTAAAATGTTATTTGAGTTGACCTCATAAGATATATGAGTTGTGCATTTTTTTCTCTCTTTAACTTTTGATAAATTGACAACATCTTTTTGGTCATCACATGATTCAACATACTTTCTTTGTTCCTAGTTTTGGATTCCATACACTCTCTCTCTTCATTTCTTAAATTTGGTGATTGATGTGACTTAGTCACTATATATTGAATCATGCAAATTTAAAATTTATAAAACTAGAAAAATACTAATTTAAAGATTTTTTATAAATATTTTAGAAAAAATAAATTAATTATAATTTGATTAAAAAATTTCAAAATTAGTGGAGAATTTTTAAGTCAATCATAAGGATGTAAGATAATATTAGATGATATTTTAATTTTTTTTAAAAATAAATAAATAATTATCAAAATTAAATTTATATGAAATCACATAATTAGCTAAAAATTCACACTAATCAACTAAAAATTCACAATTTAACATAAATATAAATCTATTTATCATGTGTTAAATTAAAAACTATATTATTAATTAATTATTAAATTATGATAATAAAAACTTATTAGTGATATATATTTTCAAATATTTCTAATATAATATTTAAAAACATTATTAAAAGAATAAATAATCTAATGATTTAGTTTTTTGAGAGTTGGTCTACCCATAGATAAAATTGATTTATGACAAATCAAATAGAAGCCATTGTTTCATGCTAATTAGCTACTTTGATTAGCAAATCAAATAGAAAAACATTGGCTCTAGAATCATAGCCTCTTCACCAAAATCTATCTTTTGAGAAAGTCACAAGATTAGCCGAGAGATAAATTAGTACTTCCTCAAATCCTCCTAGCTAGTTCTCAAACTCAAACCTAATTACATGATCAATTAGAGTCAATATATTAAAAAAGCCCTTTAGGTTTGCATTAATTTTTCACCCTTGACCTTCTCCACTCTTCCAAGGATGTTATCATTAGTTCTGAGTAACCTCCATTCAATAAAATGGCAAAACACTAAGCCCTCATCTCTTCTCCATCTTTGGCTTCTCAAATCTATTTTAGCTACTTTGTGCTTGTCACACTGGTAGATTCATAAACTCGGGGCCAAACGAAATAGATTGAGGTACACACCCTTAGTGGCAATCCACCATCACTATGAATACTCACCCTTTAATTTAGTGGTTCGTTCAGTGTAACCTGGCGACCTTTTGTACCATAAGATATTTGCAGCATATGCTTACAGCTTCCACTCTTAGAAATGTAGTAGCTTTGTGATGAAAGTTTGATGCTTTTCAAAGGTACTTCCCTTGGGGATCCCGGTCTGATGCTCCGGGGGTACATGGTCTATCTTCTCTGGTAGTAGTCGAATTTCCTGTGTGGCCCCGCTTCTCCCACCGCTTCGACGGCCATCCATTGTGTCTCGCAGGTTCACTTGAACCGAACTGGATACTCCCGCCGCCGTTGCTCCTACCTCTTCTCCTACCCATCCCTTCACCATTTGTCCTTCCCGGCTCCGAGTTGTTCTATAGCCCCTTCGCAATGATGGCGACGGGGCTTCTCCGCTTCCACGTTCCTCTCCCTTGCTGTAGTCACTACGTCAATCTCCCTTCCAACTCGTCGTCCAGTTTCTCCTCTGTTCTTCCCGTAACGGGTCTTCCAGCGGCGTCCTATCGCTTCCAAGGTCCGTCAGTCCATGGCCCGGGGGAACACGAACCCCAATGCTACAGTGTTTTTGTATGGGATTTCACAATGTCTGTGATCTTGTGAAGAACAGTCGGATTTGGGAGCTGATGCCATCTTCCTTTCTCTGTTGCACATTATTTCAGGTGGGAGGATCGAGATGAAGAAGATAGCCCGGCAGAATGTCATCTTCTGCGCTTCTGGTAGTAGTTCTCTGAAGGAGGTCTGTCGGAGAAAATTCCGCAAAAATTATGAAATGCAGTTGATAATTTTGAATAGAGAAATATATCCGGGAATTTTTTATATTTTATATTTTGTATTTATCATGGTTATCCAAATGCAGAGTACTGTGGTAGTGAAGGAAAAGAGTGTCTCGGTGATCCTTCTGGCAGGCGGGAAAGGGAAGCGAATGGGGGTACTACAGCTTCTTTTGTTTGTTCTCCTTTACAGCTCCTTTTTCTATTAGTCTCTCCGTTTCGGAGAATTTCCCAAAAATAGAAGAGTGCTGGTGCATTCTATTGTTTCCATAGGCCTCAGGGCGAGCAGGATGTCTTTCTTCGTTTCTCTCCGTTTCATCTGTTGAAGAATCAGATACAATTCCCTATACCAATTCATTTGTCAGCATTCTCATCCGAGTCCAGAGATGGATAGTGTTTTGGAAAAAAATGTTAACCATTAATATAGTGATCCTTGTTTACTCATTCTACTTTCTTGTTGAAAGTCGTAACGTTCTTTACTGCAGGCTGATATCCCGAAGCAATATCTTCCACTCCTTGGTCAACCAATTGCACTTTACAGGTAAATTCTTGACATACTCTTTACTTCACTAGTGCCTGTTATCTGAATGAAAATATTTTTTTCTCTGCAGCTTCAATATTTTATCTTGCATGAGTGAAGTGAAGGAAGTAATTGTAGTATGTGATCCTTCATACAGAGAGGTGTTTGAAGGTATGGAAAAACACTTCGACCCTATGCCCATCTTGAATATTTCTTGTCCTTTATGGTATTCTCTTAACCTTTTCTCTTGTCAGTATTTGAGTTCTAAATTGATGAGATTTATCCTTTAATTTTGTTGATACATTGTATGGTTTTTACTTGTTCACAGATGCAGTAGAATCACATGCAGAGCTCAAATTTGCACTGCCTGGGAAGGAGAGACAAGATTCTGTGTTCAACGGGTTTCAGGTTCGATTGGAACCTATAAATTTATTCCATAATTTGACTGAATATTTGTCATAGAAATCCTCCCTTATGATCAATGATAAGTAAAGCTAAGCAACAGATATATTCCTATAATGTTGTATCACCCTTATTAAAAGCCTGCTCCATTTCAGGCCTTCAGATGTCAATATCAATGAAATATCTGTGAAATTCAGATGTATTTGAATATCTATGAAATTGGTCCTTACCTTGCTTCAAATTAAACTATGTATGATGTCAAAGTATGCCTTCCAAGAGTCCACAATTTCTATGGTTTCTTTTCCTTTTTCTGTGATCTATCTCAGAATGTTGTTTTTAAACTTTGAACGTCCCAGGTTCAGGTTGTTAACAAACGTTAACTTTTAACCCAATTTGCTAGTATTCTAAAATTCAATCCTTCAATCCTTCTAGTATCCAATTTTCAGATGAGCTTCAGCGTCTTGCAATGTTTAGCCAATAATCATTCAATTCTGTTAATCCAATGAGCTGAAGTTCATGGATAATATATCTTGTTGTCTTCCATTTCATTGATGTGAATTAAAATGTGGCAGTGTTGACCTTAAAGTCCCTTTTGATGTCATATCATCCAGTTACTCAGCGGGGTCATCTACCTTTTTTTACAGGAAATTGACAGAAGTGCTCAACTTGTTTGCATCCATGATTCAGCAAGACCTCTGGTATTGTTTGAAGATATCAGAAAGGTATTTCTGATTCATCTGATTTGACAGGCTTCGGTCCCAAAGTCATTCCCACGAGTCCTGAATGTGATATTCCCAGAAAATTTTTTGGTACATCCTTTGATAACTAATCTGTATGAACCAGGTAGTTTGGCTCGAAGACATTGTAACTCCATGTGATTGTTTCAATCAATGTTTAGTTTGTCTTATGGTATTGTCATCCTGGAGGTGAAGACTCCAAGAATAAAATATCACATGCGTTATATTCTGAAAGAAATACTTTTAAGGTATTAACTGTATTGAAATTGGTATTTGTATGTCTCCTTTGAAAATTTCATGTTTCCTCCATCTTTTGCTTTCTTTTTTCGAAATTTTTGTATCACGAATATAGAGATGTAAATTAATCCAACAGGCTGTTAGGTGACATTCGTAATAGAAAGGACTCTGTAGTGACAACTGTACAACAAGCCAGAGTTATTGAAAATTAGTGGCATACAGGTTCTTTTAATAGAAAAGGCTTTTTAACTGAAGAATTCAGGATAGAAAGGGTTTCACATCTGTTGCCGTTTCTAAATAACTTTCATGTTTTTTTTTTGGATTTATCCTCGTTTTATTAATTCTATATGGAATATGTAGCACGATTTTACAATTATGTGTTAAATAGTGATGCTTATTTTAATTTATTACATTTTCCTTTGGTCGATAAAACATCATGTATTTTTCCTCATTATCATGGGCATTTACGTCAATTGAAATTTCAATAAAATGCCTTTTCAGGTAATGTTTAAAATTCCTTATTGCTATCGGCCATATGGATATGTTGCTGTGTATTTCTTTATTCTGTAGAATCTTATCAATTTAATGTGTTTTGATGCATTCTCATTGTCAGGTTCTAGTTGACGGTTTGCTGAATGGGGCAGCTGTTCTTGGTGTTCCTGTCAAGGCTACGATCAAGGAAGTATGTAGCTCAAAATCGGATTGTTCCATTACCATAAGCGCAATGTTGATTCCAAAAGATGCATATGCGAACTACGACATCTGTTAGCGTTTTTCTTAAAACTAAATTTTAAGTTAAATTTCATCATGCAGGGATTTATTTAGTAATTTATGTTGGAATGATGTTTGGTAGTTATTTACAATTCCTTTTTATTTCTAGAAGCAGATGATAACTCTGCTAGTTGAAACCTTGGGGCTTAATTTTATGTGCTAGGTACCATTTCTCAATATTCTTGATTAAGAAATTTTAGTTCCTATCTCTTTGGTACATTTAGAAGCTGTGGTTAGAAGCTCTTCAGGAATGCATGCTTTATCTTCCTGAGAGCTCGCTAGCTATATACATCTAAGTACTGTTTATGCTTCTCTGATTTAGTGAAAATCAAAGGTGAATGGTGAAGTTGACATCACAGCTATAATATCAGTAGAAGATGCAATGAGTTGCCCATAAAGTTGGTGGATCGAGTGTCCAATCTTGTTGTAGGTTGCTCATATGCGAGTTGGTTCCCCAGGTTATTCGGTGTATTTAGTTTGAATTAATTTTTGAGATCACATCCTTAGAATCAGAATGCATGTTACCTTGTCTTCACCTCCTGTTAAAAGGGATGACATAACTGACCTCATTCCTGTTGTTACTGTGCAGGCTAACAGCGAGTCCTTTGTAGTTAAGACACTTGACAGAAAAACACTATGGGAAATCCAAACCCCTCAGGTTATTCACATAGATTTTTATCTCATTTTTTTTGATAGATTTGCTTGTTTTATAGTTTCTGATGCATGACTACCCCACTTTATTAGGTTATCAAACCTGATTTGCTGAGGGATGGCTTTGAGCTTGTGTACAGGTGCTATCTGTTTTTACAAATGTCGAATTGAAGTATTGTGGTTAATAAAGATTGTTTCAATTTCCTGCTTCTTGTTTCATAAATGAATGCCTACCTACGTGAACTCATCCTGGATCTCCTGTTAGGCAAACATCATTCTTCCTTATTTTATTCTAAGGATGAGCTAGAGGAAAAAGATGGCACTGATTCCTAACTTATCTGGGCCTCCTAAGTGAGCCACAACTTTTCTTCATGGAAGAGAATCTAATTTTGTGAACATGAATTTGCATTCCTGTGAACAAGTGCTCTTGTTGACAAATTGAAATTCACCATGTTTCCACAAAGAAGATCTCAAAGGCAAAAATGCATATTCGCATAGGTTTGCATTCACTTATGCCAATCTGCATTCAAGAAGAGAATGTTCAATCATTCATGCAAAAGTTCGTATATTGTACAGTAAATTTGTAAATTTAATTCAGAATATATTTTTCTTAGAATATGTTCTTTATTAATTAATTTATTCTGTGTTTTTTAAAATTTCATTTTTATATTTCTGCTTAACTTTGTCTTGTCTTTTATATTGTAACATTGTTTATATGAAGTAAGTCTAGATATATTCTATTTTTTTAATATTTATTTATGATGTGCTTAGGGACTTATTGTCACTAATTATTTAATGAAATGATTTTATGGTCATCGGAATTACACCCCTCATGTTGTATGTGATAATATTTGTGTTCGTTTATCCCCATATTATTGGCATTAATCATTTATCTACAGACGCATACATTTCATCTCCAGTTTTGGCCTATTTAGAAAATATTCTGATAGAACCCTGAACCGGAATAACAAGAATAACATAAGAGAGGATCAAGCAATAGGAGAAGTAAGAAGCTTAGGACCCTCGAAGGAACTCTAGGCGACTGAAAGGTGGTCGTTCAGGAGGGCCAACAATCTCCCCTGCTGCAACAACATCCCCATCTGCCCTGGCTCAACCCAATACCTTCCCCATACTGGGGAAATGACTTAATAGCCCTTTTTAATTGGTCCTGAGATAGTTGTTGGGGTTTTTTCTCCTTCTGGAGTAGAGTAGGCTCACCAGTGGCCTATCATATTCTAACTTTGGTCTTGCCTGGGTATCATCTCATGCCTCAGCTTCTCACCAGGAAATGAGAACTGCCGATAACTGCAGTAGTTGCTTTAAAAAGCCATAGTTTTTGTGATAATTAGACAGGTTGGAAAACATGGACTGAAACAGAGGAATGTTTCCTCTGTCACGACGATAGAGGGAAGGATTGGTGGAAACCGTCTCAACTACTCATTAATATCTAACACCCCTTAAATAGGGAGGGAACGCTTCATACTCTTTTCCGAGATACCCTCAGTCCTTTATGGCATTCCCTTATGAATTGAAACTTCCAACATGACACATGAAGATCTTGATTTCTTCAGCTATTTTCTATGATTGGCCTGGCTGACACACTAGCGTTCTATTAACTTTTAGTTCATCTGTACGGAAATTTTTTAATCATTAGCCGGCCTGAAACACACGCACAGAGATCCAAAATCTATAGACTGTCTTTTTCCTCGTCTTAGAATGAGACAAAACTTGAAAAGTGTATTTAATATGGTTTTGGACTTGTGAAAACTATAAGGGAAGAAAGTTTGTAGCTATCTGACTTCATTCTAGATTTCAAAGCATTCGACAAAAGAAAAAAAGTAGACCTTTTTCTCGAAAATTATTCTTTTAGACTGTGTTTTTAGCTTTATTCACTGATGTGTTTTGTCTATTTCCCTTGCCATTTGCTGTATAAGCATCTCCCTCACATCTGATGGGCCATACCTTGATTGCATTCATTTTCCTCATTTAATGAAATCATATATTTGATTTGGAAAGAATGAGCCAATTAGCAAATATTGTATTAGTGTGATAAACCCTCATTTCAATGTTATGCATGCTCCTTCTTAGTTTGGCAAATGATATAATTGTAGAACACCTGCGTTTGCCAACAATTGGCTGCAGGATGAGGTACTAGTGCTAGAAGCACCTCATTTTAATGCTGTGCCTGACTGTGTTAGGTCAATGTGGGTCCTCATCTTTTTTTATCATAGAATACATTTTGCGTGTTTATGATGACGCTGGCGAGGCAGACATCATATGAATCCCAGCTCAGATCTAATCATTTTTAACTTCATCTCGGATACACCTTGTGAATCCCAGCTCAGATATAATCATTTTTGACTTCATCTCAGATACACCTTGTGAATCCCAGCTCAGATCTAGCCATTTTTTACTTCCATCTCGGGTACACCTTATGAATCCCAGCTAATATCTAATCATTTTTTACTTCATCTCGGGTACACCTTATGAATCCCAGCTCAGATCTGATCATTTATGGGCAATGTTAACCTTCAGACTTGGAAACCTTTTCAAAGGAGCCACTAATAGTTACTAGTTTCAAGCATTAACTCCATGATTCAGTTTCGAGAAGTTCATTTCGTTTGTCCTCTTTGCAAAGATTATTCTTAGGAAGTTTTTCATAAATTCGCACTGCAATGATTTCATGATTTCCAGAGTATCAATTTAAAGGATGTTTGAATTATTTCTATTTTTCTGTACAGGGAAGGACTGGAAGTCACTGATGATGTATCGATTGTGGAGCACCTTAAACATCCTGTGTACATAACTGAAGGATCTTATACAAATCTCAAGGTATTGAGTTAGGAAGTGACACATGCATAACTGTCTTGAATTTCACTCTGAGTTTTGGATGGGTTGGGATTTTCGTCAGATATTTATAGAACTGGTAGAACAGCACACTGCTGATCCTGGTCCAGATTGGATCTTCCCTGATCCGAGCTAATTCATCTAGATCAACTCAGATGAGAAAAAAACACCAGATCTAATTTGTCTATTGGCTAGGTGGAATTTGGATCAGCCTCTCCCATGGACAATGAACTGTACCCAAGTAGTGAGGAAGATGTGTACCAAACTTTGTTAGTTTTGGATTGTTTTTTTGGCAAACGCATGTATTTCCTTACCAATATTTTTGATCAATTCACTGATTTTTCTTGCAGGTCACTACCCCAGATGATTTATTACTTGCAGAGAGAATCTTGAATTCTTGACTGTTGAATTGGTTCACATCGCGATTTATAGAAAATATTTTTCTACATCACATCATTTGATCCCCAAGGGAGAGAAAGAATGCTAGAAAAAACTGGTGCTTCTGTTTATGTTCAGATCCACTGAAACTGGGGAGCTAATAAGTTCGTCTAAACAACTTCCGAGCATCTGACAATGCTTGTGTTGTAAGTCTGCCAATGTATTTGTCCAGATTGATAGTTTTTTCTCTTGTCAGGTAAGCTCTCGAACCGAGGCTGTCTTGCTTTGCAGATTTACTGGGTGCCACTTCATTATTTAACTGGTCTGCACTCACCACAGTTCCCATGGTGATCCCTGCTTTCAAGCGCTCCAAACCCCCCGCTGGCAGTCCCCCACCTCTTGCTTTAGCTTGACTTTAGACATGTCGACCTGACATGTAGATTTTTTTTTTTTCTTCTTACAGATGCTAGATGTCAGATTGTACTTTGAAGAACACTAGCATTATAGGCCCTGAGAAATTCTAGTTTAAAATTTGAGTATAGCAGAACATATCAATTGATGGAAGAGAAAAATAGAGATACAGATTTTCTTTACGACTCTCTGCCTGCAAGTGAGTTCTTGTCATTGGACCAAGGATAAGGTCTTATGAGATAAATCTGGCTATTATATTTTTGTCAATTATATTTACGATACAATATAAGTTCTTATGAGGTAAATCTTGCAATTATATTTTTGTCACAAGTTTTTTAAATATTCTTTCATTATGTGTTGTCTTATATTGATGACATATTAAATGCAGCAAAAAACAGGACTAAAATTAGTAAGCTGAAAGCTTTGCTAAATAGTGAATTTGGGATGAAAAATTTAGAAGTAACAAAGAAGATTCTTATAATGAAGATTTGAAGAAAAAATAACTCAAGTAAATTATATTTGACATGGGTTAAATACATTTAAAAGGTATTATGACATTTTTGAAAGCCAACCTTACCACTTGTCTCCAAAAGTAGAAGAATTCATGTCACATGTATCATATCCTAGTATAGTAGGCAGCATGTTTCACCTCATTGTTTACACCCATCTTGGTATACCACAAGCAGCATGTCTTGTTAGCTGGTATATACCTGACCTAGGTAATGGACATTCGTATATTGTAAAGTTATCTTTTAAAATACTTGTGTGTTATGTTTAATACATATTTTGAATTTGGAAAAAAGTGGTAATACTATGATGAGATTTGTTGATTCAGACTTTGTAGGAAATTTTGATTAAAAGAGGTCGCTCATCATATTTATTTTTTTAGGCAGTAGTTGTATTACCTAAAGAGAACTTTTCAATGTTTTATTTTACTATTGAGACATGATAATTTTAAGTGAAAATAAGATAAAATTTTCCGATTTTATCATTATTTTGTGAATAAATAATATATAAGTAAGATATTTGCATTGATATCAATCTATTTTCGAATTTAATAAATACATTCGTTTTTATAATAATTTTTAGTTCTTAATTATTCATTTTTTACTAAGGATACAAAAGAGACTTTTGCCAAAGACAAGGGTAATTTAGTCTTTATACATTTATCATCACCGTCCTCATCATGTCCCCATCCACACCCATCTACCTCTTTTGGATGTAAATATTTCATGCACCTCTTCACTAGAAGTCCCCTTCCCCATCAACCACTGTTGTGATAGTATTTCACACATCAATTTTATGGTGGTTTGGTCATGGGACATAATCCATAACCCAAGTACTTGTGCCATGAGTCAAGGATCGAACTCACCTCAATTCTTGCCCAGATTGGCCTTGGTTGCCCTGACTTACACCAAGCAACCCTTCTTTGAGATGACACAGAAATTTTAACAGTCAAAGGGAGAACTTCATTGGAAAGAAAAAACTCACACACTCCTACTAATGTGCACCCCTCTCAATCGATGTTTCTCACTCTAACCTAAGGAAGAAGCACATCTCTTTTTCTAAGGAGAGCCCACCCATGACTTCCTCATTCTAACACTCCACAATCTAGGCAACCTAGAAAACCCACCATGCCCTTGTTCTTTTTATCCCATAGTAGGAAAACATGTATTATTTTTCCCACCCACAACAGTTGTTTGATCTGCTAATCCAACAGTTCACCCAATATAATGCCTAATTCACGTATCCTTCTTGACCCATCATCTCATCTACTATAGATTCATTCCATGAGATCAAATCCAAATAGTTGTGCCTATCACAACCTGCACTGTGCCACTTCCTTGGGTTCCACTAGTCACTTAATGAGATGTATGTTGCCTTATAGCTTCACTCATGTTGGATTTAACATGTACGACCAATTCAAGGATCCACTTAGTAATACTCTTCTAGATTAATTTTATAGGTGACTAAATAGGAGAGACCCACTCCCTCATCTAAATTCATGACTATAGGAAGCCAAATAAGAGAGAATCAATCCTCTTATCTAAATACATAGTTTCCTGGAACTAATGTAGATTAGCTACTCTTATTCTTCAATAGATTAAGGCTCTCAATAAGTTGTACATAATATGTAAACACAAGTTAGAATGTGTTACCATTCTTAGGTTCAACACAGTACTTATTGAAGACTTGTTCATCTTTTCTATTGTTGGAGAAGTTTGATGAGTCTTTTGAACTTGAGCACAATTGATTGATAAAGTTTACAAGTACTCAAAATTGTACCAATTTAGTGCAAGCTCTCGAACAAAGAGTCTAAGCTGTATTAACAATGACGAAAAATACACATAGTAAATCGAAGTTCAATGCATATCAGAAAGTTTACATAATTCATCGAAATCTTTGAGTAATAGTAGTATTCATAAATAAAAAAAAAGAAGAATACTACATTTTTGAGGCTATCAAATCTTCTAAATAAGAGTTTCAGAGCTCTTCCACCATATGGTCCACCTAATACTCAGCAGAAAAGGGAAATCACTGCTGCTGTTGTCGTGGCACTGGTGGCAGTGCCATGAGCGTCATTGCTGTCTTTGTCGCCATAGTAAGTACCGCTATTGATGTGCTCGGTTCCTCCTCCACCTATCACACAGAATGGAAACTCATAGCTGTCATCAATGTCATCACTGATGTCATTGTCATGGTCGTCGACATTGCCGTGCTCAATTCCTCTTCTATTTGTTGATAACATGCAAATTCTACATGTTAAGTATGGCATAATTTAGACAATTAGTATTTAACTTTGATACAAAATGACATCTAATTATACATAAAATAGGTGAAGCATAATTTATGATCAATATTCTCAATATATGTCTAGTTTTGTGAGTTTTTCATATTTTCTATAGCATTATATTTATTTATTTATATGCTTCACATGAATAATAATAATAATAATAAATTTATTTGATGGATCATCTGATATCAAATGGAGTGCTTTGTATTATCGTTCAGATAATGTTTACAAGAAACTTGCGTCTGAAATAGATCATCAGTTCACCTTGGCGTATGCTTCTTTTCAGAGAGGCACTTCCGCTCTTTGACCGCGGTACGCAGAACTGGGCAACCAGCCACCCCCCACCCACCCTCTCTCTCTCTCCCCGCCGCCACTATATATAACGTGGGAATATGTAGCGTAAGCTCTAAACTTGGCCCATATGAACCAGGCCAGGGAGCCGACAGAGAACTTGTGGTCAACCGATGACGGCCCTCGCAGAAGAAGCGAAGGGCCATGGGGAGGGAGAGGTGACGAAAATTCTGCGCGTGAGGAACCCTCCGCCTCTGTGCTCTCTCAATAAATTGGAGCCGGAGAGATCGGCAATAGCATTCAAGCGCGGTCTCCATCTACGGTAGTCTCCTCTTCTTTGTCCGTTTCGTCTCTCTTCCGATCGATCGAACGCGGTTCCCGCTTCTCCTGGGTCTTATCGCGAGATTCTTCTCTTGTACGGGACAAGTCTGGCGATTATTCGTCATCTTCTGGATCGTTCTCTGACCTAACATTTTGGCGAAATCCACGTGTGCAAGTTGACGAATAGTTGGATAGAATATTTCTATTCTATCCAGACAAGAAAGGCTCGGGGAGAATAGAAGCGTCTCCCTCCGATGGTCAGCGACTGATAGTTTCGATAAATACTAGTGATCATCAGTCTATTAAATTCTAGGCTGCATCTCCAGGAACTCTCGCAGTACTTGCTGTTCCAAACTTTGGTCTTCGTTGACCCTATGCCTGGACAAGTATGTTTTCTTAGAGCTGCTGAAGCTTTCGGATTCTTTTCTGAGCATGTTGACTTTACATTACACTCTTCCAATACGCGTTTGACCTCGTTAATGGTACCTACTGGTCATGAACATATCTAAGTTAGGCGGTTACCCTCAGTGGGGGAAATCTTGTGATCCATGGATTGATGAAGTCAAAAGGCTCAATTTATAGTATTTAATAGTAATCCAACCGATAGCTCCCCGCGTAGTCTTAGAAGATAAATCGTTGAATCGCGGTTGGGGAAGAAGAGCGGCAATGGCGGTGATGTGACAAGACCTACGGGAAGCGACAAGCAATTTCATTCAACGAAGTATAAATCTGGAGTTGCACCCAATGGCTGCCCACCTCTCGGCCTTCATACCTTCTCGAGAATGGAAACCATGTTAAGGTTATTATCATCTCCGAGATCATTCCTCGTTATCCTGCTAGTCGTCGCCCTTCTGATGATTTCTCCAATGATGGTGGTGGCACGAGGAGGGGGCAGGGGCGGCGGCGGCGGCGGCGATTCCTCAGCAGCTGCTGCACAAAGCTCTCTCATTGAAGTAGTCCTCTTTTCATTCGTCTTCTACATCTTCGCCTTCTATTGGTGAAGAAATGCAGGGAGAAAGAGAACTACTTGGCTGTTTCCCACATATGTTACTCTATAAATGTTAGATGTTGTCATCATCGCTGAATAATACCGAGGAAAAAAGATTTCCGGAACTTTTATTCTTAGCCGCTAAATATAACGTCGTGTTATTGACTGAAGAGAAAGAATAACAAGGATCAGATAAGAAAGTTCCAGTTAAAGACGCG